CCCGCCCCCCCCCCCCCCCCCCCCCCCCCCCCCCCCCCCCCCCCCCCCCCGCCCCCCCCCCCCCCCCCCCCCCCCCCAGTCTAGCTATTTCAGTTTCTATACTCTATGCTTACGGGGGAGCGATGTGATGTGGGTGATATATTAAAATTGGATTAGAAAAGTGTTTAATGTATGAAAAAAATATATAAAAGCAAGAAAAAGGACTAGTCCGCGGGTGAGCGTTGGTAAGGCGGTGCTCACACCTTATTATAACCCCAGGGAGGAAATATACCTAGGTAGCTATACGAACCGTTATGTTTACTTATAACCATAACCATCTCCTCTAAAATTTGGCACAATCTTTGGTCGCGTAGGTGAGCGAACAGGTTCACCTTCACCACCAATCGTAAGTCCCATGCTGGGAGGTAGTCAGCACTTGGAAGTTCTACATTAGCAATAAGCATGGCAATTAACTAAGGAAAAGGCCAATCAATGAAAAGACGCTACGAGGCTGAAAATTACGGAAGTTAAAAAAACGTTGCGTTAACACGTAAAATACTAGCTGCGCTTTTACATAGGTAACTGTCAGATTAGTCAGCGCTGTCAGGTGACTTGAAATCTCTGATTTCCCTGTAATTACTCGCGTTCCACGCGTTCTCACGATCTTAGACACTCATAACAACATACTATGTACAATAAGATCATCAGTAATTACATCCATATTGCCCTGAATCATCACTTAGGTAATCGTGCGTACCGATTGTTTGATACATACTTGCCAACCCCGCTATTCATGCAATTATACCGAATATACTGCCCGACTAGCCTTGCTCTTAATAAAATATAGGAGAGTTGATTGTTAATATCACAGACGCTTTTGATGCTTGAAATTCTTAATAAACAATCCGTAAACCATCTTGCGCCATTATTCCCGTTGCTTTAGGTGGTTTTCTCTATTAATACCTATATACAGTTATAAGATGCCTATACATTAGATAACGAGTCCCTTTTCGCACTCGAAAACGGCATCATTATTTTCTTCCAACGCATTCACAATTAATCTCCAGACACTCTTATCCCACATGAGTCCTGCATGTCCAACTTTGTCCTCGGGACAAGTATCCTGAACGATAACGTTAGTTGCCCCTTCCTCGTCAATCCTGCTGACATCCGGCGATACCAGCGTATCCGAATTGGACATGATAACTGTCACTTTGTTTCCGGGCTGCACTATCTTGCCGGCATTCTTGAAGTCGTTGTATATCCCGCCATCGGTTGCCATGTCTTCGCAGGCTGGGCATCCTAGCGCGTCCACGACCTTCTTAGCGAGGGCGCGAGTGAAATTCCCGCCGATATACCATAGATCGGTGAAGCCGAAGTACTTCGCACCATGAATAGCCGGTCCCAACGCGACCACGTGCTCCACGATATCCGAGATACCATCTTGTGTCATTGGTACGTATATGGCTTGAACACCACCCTCGGAGTGACCAACAATATCGACCTTTTCCGCGCCGGTTTTATCCTTAACTTCTTTCACAAAGCTAGCGATATCTTTTGCCGATTCTGACATTGGTCTAAGACCACCAATCCAAGGTACCAAACTCCAGGCACCGTAAGTCTCAGAGAATGTGCAGTAACCGCGCCTGTTGAGTTCCCATTGAAGCATGTTCAGGTCGACTTGGCGGTTTGCCGAGAGCCCATGGAGCAGGACGACGGGATTCCGGTCGCTTTTGCAGTCGAAGTTGTTTTCAGGTGCGCCGTATAATTCGCTAAATCTTAGGATATCCGGCGTATCGGTATCAAAGCCCAGACCGCGCCGGCCGAGATCCCGAACATCATCATTATTAATCCGGGATGCGCTCGGGAGAGCGTTCGCGCCCAGCGACAAAAGAGACTGGGCTAATAAAAGACCACTTAATTTTATAGACGGCATGATGGATATTTAGATGTGTATGGAATTATTCGCACACTGGTTAGGTCTACTCTAGTATTCAGACAGCAATACGTTCTTATATAAGTACGCTATCATTAAATCCGCCAATGAATGCTTCCATCCTTATTTTCTCCTTGAAATTAAAATAAAATAGCAAACTGACAGTTTAGGAAATTCCACTTCCTCTCGCTTTACCGAATGCGTAAGGAGTGTTGGGATCACCCTTACCTTTTTCGCCATGCCGCAATCCTTCGGTAGGGGACACACTTTACATATAGTAACTGCGTATGTATGCTGTAGGCTCGGTATCCTCCGCAAGCCACTCGTCGCCTGAAACGGATAGACCGACGGTCGTATATGTTTCAGACGGCAATGTATGCGATTGGCTATCTACCGAGACGTCAGACGGATGTACCTTTAAATCGTCCATTGCAACGTTAGCCGCAACCTTCCTCCGAGGGACTAGCGTATGTCTTTTCCTCTTATTAACATGGCATTGGTAACGTGAATGGGTTCTAGAATCTGATGGCTCAACTATAATCTATAGAACCTAGTTCCCGGGCCTCATCTACAGTATTATACATCCCTTGCTTTAATCTACTAAAGTTTGCCTCAAACAATCAATTACCTATCCTGAGCTCAAAGTCTTAACATCTAGCCGGGAGGGAGCCACTCCGATTATGAATAATACTTTGGGCACATGGGCCACTACGAAGAAAAGCAAATGTAAAGATTCTATTAATGCCATATAAGAAGAACTACCAACACCAGAAATTGTTAGTTATATATAATACAGACGTCTAATTGTCTAAGTGAAAACAAGCTGCTGTGCCGTAGATAAATTTAACAACAAGCTATCCTAAAATGCGCCTGTTAGCCGTTTCACTTTCCGTCTGCCAAGTCAAGAGGAAGCAACGTACAGGAAAATAAAAATGAAACGCGTTGCCCATTCTCAAATTGGGTTGACTGAATCCTAATCCAAATGGATAATAAACGTACTAAATCTCACTATGAGTATCGCCAAAACTATGGTTATAGTGTTCTGCTACTGCAAGGGATAGGGGCTCAGTCCTCAAGTTTTTGCAGTCCAGAAGCGAGCGTTGGCTTGCTGTCTAGCCCCTCACTGAAATAATAAGTTTAAAGCCATGGTGTAACCAGATATATTTCGTAGCGTCTTATGAGGATATGCCGCTACATACTAGATATTAGGTATATGGACGGGTATCTTATAGCTTATATTTGCCTATTCCACGCGAGAAGTGGTGGCTGCTAAAATGAATAAATACCTCTTAAGATACTAGGTACCTACAGGTAATACCTACCTAGCAGAAAAGGGGGGGAAAGGGGGGGCTCAGGTCACTATGCATAATTTATACGCACTTAAACTATGCGACGGTCGAAGTTCAAAGGTGGTAAACATCTGTTATCGCATTAGTATATACAACTAGAAGTAATCAATTGTTTGAGTTCATATGGTATGACTTTTAGTCTTAGGTAGTTATCCCTACCTAACTTAGAAAGAGTATTTTTACTAAACTATAAAGGGGTAACTTACCCAAGATTAAAGCTTACGCTCGATCTCAAAATCATATCTAACAATCATAACTGCAAACGTCATATAATATATTACGCTGCCTCTAGCGGATATCACAAATACTTTAGTTAGGTAATCTTTTCAAACTTAAACTGAGGACCGACTCAGTGTAGATTGAGAGCTGAAGCAGGTTGACGTGGTACGCTGGTGCGCTCACCCTCCGACCATCCGAGCTGATGCTCCGATCTGTATAGACGGCCTCACGAGAAGAAACGGACGGAGGATCGGGTTCGCCCGCTATCTCATGATACTTGTTCGGGCTTAAATTATTCGAGATACTTCTCTATAGATTCCTTTCCTTTTCGAGCGTTATATAAGTATTCTAAGCATAGGTATCAGTCTGATTTTTGAATAGTATCCTCTGTACTCTATTAATCCACATACTATTTTTTAATTCAGCCATATAAACCCTACGTCCCCAAAGCCGCTGTTTATTTGCCTATCCCTTTTCCTCTTAAACGTGGCTAAATACGATTTATCATGTCCGACCAAGACGGTCAAAAGTCCGAGCATGGAGGATCCCTAACAGGTAGGCCTTCTAGCGACAGCAAAGGAGACATTGAACAGGCTAGAAGTCTGGCGGAAAAGCCACCTTATGACCCGAATATTGTCGATTGGGATGGTCCCAATGATCCAGTAAATCCTCTTAATTGGCCAACATGGAAGAAGGGCCTCCATGTTGCGTATGTCAGTCTATTCGTCCTCTTCGCGTAAGTAATTTCTCGTCTCCTCTTCTGTGTACAGATAAGTAGTATATTGACCTTAGCATTATTCCTAACTCGCTCCTAGGAACTTAGCTTCGACTATGTTCGCTCCCGGCGCAGCAGAACTGGCCCAAGAATTCCACATCACCAGCTCCGTGCTTGCCACTTTCACGGTCAGCATCTACGTCCTAGGCTTCATGATAGGGCCTCTATTCCTCGCGCCGCTCTCCGAGCTGTACGGCCGCCTCATCATCTACCATGTCTGTAACTTAATATACCTCGCCTTTACGCTTGGATGCGCCCTTAGCAAGAATACCGCAATGTTCCTCGTTTTCCGATTTTTCGCCGGTTGCGCATCCTCGGGGCCTATGACAATAGGAGGCGGCACTATAGCCGATGTGACGCGGCAGGAGAATCGGGGCAAGGCCATGGCAATGTTCGTCATTGGGCCACTTCTAGGACCTGTATGTACACACTTGATACCAAAACCTAATGAGTTGTTACTAATAACGCATAGTCAATTGGGCCCATCATCGGTGGATTTGTAGCTCAAGATATCGGTTGGCGTTGGACATTTTGGATTATTCTTATTGCGGTAAGCTAGCCTAGGTACTCCATAATCATATATTCATGGCCTAATAAAGCTGTCTATTCGTAGTCCGGTGCCCTCGGCCTAGCTTCTCTTACGTTCTTGAGAGAGACCAACGCCACAGTTCTACTTCAGCGAAAGACCGAGCGTCTCCGGAGGGAAACGGGAAATACGGAGCTTACTTCCAAATTGGATTTGAAGCTATCCCCTCGCGAACTTCTTACACGATCCATTGTACGTCCAGTGAAGATGGCTATCTTCTCACCTGTTACCCTGCTGTTATCCCTTTACGGTGGCGTGCTGTTTGGGTTCGTGTTTCTCCTCTTTACTACGTTCCCGGCTATATTCAAAGATCAATACGGATTCAGCCCTAGCACTGCTGGTTTGGCGTATCTAGGCCTTGGGATAGGGATGCTATGCGGTCTATTCCTATTCACAATCATGAGTGATAAGCTGCTCGGTCAGAAAGGGGGCAATACACCCGCTAAACCGGAGCAACGACTCATTCTGATGAAATGGTTTGCGCCTATTACACCCATCGGATGCTTCATATATGGGTGGACCGCGTACTATAAAACTCATTGGATATTTCCTGAGATCGGGACCTTCATCATCGGAGTCGGGAGCCTCTTTGTTATCCTACCCTCCCAAACCTATCTAGTTGATGCTTTTGGGCCTCAAGCCGCAGCTTCAGCAATGGCTGCTAACGTCGTCATTCGTGCCCCCTTCGGAGCCTTCCTTACTTTTATTGCTCCGCCGCTTTACGCAAAACTAGGGCTAGGATGGGGCAATAGTGTCTTGGGCTTTATTTGTCTAGCCTTTACTCCAGTGCCATGGCTATTCTACCATTACGGAGAATACCTAAGAACACGCTTCGCGGTCAAATTATAATACTTTCTAAAGCTCAGATTCACGGAATTTTGCTTGCGAAAAAAGCATCGAATCATCATTTGATAGCAAGCGTTCGTTATGCATCGCACCATCTATTTCGTGCTAACTCTCACCCTTAACACTCCATTTTCTCTAAAACTTTAGAGTTTACTTAGAACAGAGATTTAGAATTATCGATGTCCTATTACATAGAACTAGGTAATTATTTAATTATATTATAGAAATAAAAGATAAAGCTATTTAAGATGGATTTTAGGTATTTAAGTTAAACGAGTGGGAGATGTACATGTCTTAAGGCGTCATATCCTTGAAAATAAAATAGGTAATAAAAAGGGGTAAAATCGACATCCTACTATTAGAACAAAAACCAACCCTGACTTCTATCTAAGGCTTCAATATTCAAATTTTCACATTAGATGCCACATACATAGTCCATTAATCGGGTTTATAAGTCGTTGCTTGGATGTTACATGAAACCGCGATATTTCCCAAGGTACCGGATGTGAGTATCCGCCTCAGCAAGAATATATTCATATTAACAAACAAAATGGCACATCAATTCTCTCTATATAGCCCGGAAATAACGCCAACCAAACATATAAAGATACGAACCCTCGGTATTTAATCCAAAAACCCGGCTATAGGTCAACATCATGCGATTCCCCTCATGCCTCCGCGCCGTTGCGCGCAAGTTTTCACCAATGAGCAAATCCCGGGGTGCCGAGTTCAGAGCCCGAAGCAATCGGTTATTAGAAGCACTTTGTCACAATGATTGTAATATAAGTTGTATTGGGTAAGTTCTACATAAGAGGGAGGATCTAGTAGGATCCAGTATTTATATACATGCGGGTACCCGTCAATATGAGGAGAAAGCGATACCTCATATAAATAAAGAAATTAAGCGCCGATGTTTGAAAGCTCTCCTTCGGAAACCAAATGCTCATCAGTAGCAATGGGCAACGAAACCAGTTCAACGCGGATCGCAGCATGTCATGTCTCGCCGGTCTTCCTGTCCGCCAAGGACACGACCCTTAAGGCGATATCGCTGATCCAAGAAGCCGCGGGGAATAAGGCGAATCTCGTGGTATTCCCCGAGTCGTATATCCCCGCGTTCCCTGTCTGGAGCGCGCTGCGTGTTCCGACCGAGAACCATGCCTTCTTCCAGCGTATGGTGACAGAGTCCATCTACGCCGACGGCGAAGAAGTAGACGCAATCCGCGCAGCAGCCAAGCAATTCGGCGTGCTCGTCAGTCTCGGATTCTCCGAAAAGGTCCGCTACAGCAGCGCCACGCTATTTAACTCGAACGTGCTCATCGGAGCCGACGGCGAGATCCTAGTTCATCATCGGAAGCTCATGCCCACCTTCTACGAAAAGCTTACCTGGGCTCCGGGAGACGGGCACGGCCTTCAAGTTGCCGAGACGAAGTTTGGCAAGGTCGGAGTGCTGATCTGCGGGGAAAATACAAATCCGCTGGCCTTGTACACCATGACGGCGCAGGGCGAGCAGATCCATATCAGTACCTGGCCTGCGGTGTGGCCTACGCGGTTACCACATGGTGATACACGATCAACCCACGTCGTAGAGAGCAGTAAAATCGACGCCCAACCTCGCCGTTTAACTATCGCCCCCGGAGTAGACTACGACAACGTCGGTGCAAACAGAACACGCGCCGCAGCGCACTGTTTCGAAGCGAAATGTTTCGGTGTGCTCTGCGCCGGCGTCCTCGGCGAAGATGCCATCGCATCCATCGCATTGTCTTTAGCATTGTCTTCAGCAGTGTCTTCATCCAGTTCTAGCGAGCAAGAGGTAGTAAGATCCTCAGTAGCGCAGGGACTGGAGCGCTTACCAAGAGGCGCTACAATGTTTCTTGATACGACGGGGACCCTACTTCCCGGCTTCACGTTGAACCCCAAGACTTCAGAAAAGGTGCAGGTGGATTTCCTTCAGAAGGAGGAAGGCATCCTATATGCCGATGTTGACTTGGAGGATTGTGTAGAGGGGAAACAGTACCACGATATTGCGGGTGGGTATCAAAGGTTGGATGTCTTTGAGCTTAAAGTTGATCGTAGGCGGAGACAGCCGGTTATATTTGAATAACTGTTGCGGTTGTACAGAATTACCTAGCCGAGTCATAAACTATCATCTTCATTAATAGATGCTTAGGTACCTAACCTTGGGCAGATGGTCGAGAGAGTCACATAACCCTCATAAAATAGAGGGAGGTCTAATATACACTTCTTGAAAGTTGATTCATGTTGACTAGAGTTACGCGGCGGCCTTTGCAGCTTCCTTTTCCGCAGCCTTAGCAGCCTTCTTCGCAGCTATCTGTTTCTCCTTTTCTAACTTCTTCAACTGGTTTTTCGTCAGCTTACCTTCTCCGTCTTGACCTTCGGGCTTTGTCTCTGCCGCTTCTACAACGGGGATAGTTCTCTGCGCTCTGGGATTACCTCTCCACGTCAATGGTCGCACAGACATGAATAATTTGACAGTCTCTTCCGTTACCTTCGCTCTCCGCTCTTGGAAGGCGGCGACGTAGTCCTGGAGATACTTGATACATATTGCTTTGAGCTAGGGGAAAAGTTAGCGAATTAATACCCATGTAGAGGCAATAATACATACTTCTCCAGTTAGAAGCTTGCCTTCCCTATAATCCTGTCCAATTTTTGCTAGTTCCTAGATATTTATTAGTATTGGAAGTAAATAGGGGTAGAAGTGATAACATACTTCATCATCATCCATGAAAAACTGCAGATACTGGTAGGAAACATCTATGTCGGGATTCCCGCCCTTCTCCCTTTGCTCTTCCGCGCTAACTTGGCCACCGGAGAAAGCATATTTGTTGACCTTATCCTTGATTTGTTTAGGAGTATCCTTCATGAAGATGGCAGAAGAATCGATGCTGGCAGACATTTTCGAGCCCGGGCCCTGTAGGGCGTCGAGGAACCGGGAATGGATTAAAGAAGGTTTGGCGTATTTTAGCCTGGCAGCGCAATCTCTAGTCAACCGGAAATAGGGGTCTTGGTCGATAGCGCAGGGAATGAGACATGGGATACTCGCGGTCTTCTTTTCGTCGTCACCAAATATGTGCGGAAAGGTAGTCGCGAATGCAGTAGCACCCTGTATACTGGTGAAGTGAATCTTCCCGATATTCGAGCTATGCTGATGTTAGTTGATGGTTGTCACGTGTGCACAAATAGAATAGCTCAATGAGGTGACGGAATAAATAATGAGAACATACCTTTCGTCGAAACCAAACGTAGCTTTTGCTTGGTTGTAGGTAACTAGTTTGGCGAATCGAGTGACATTTTTATAGAAAGCCCCGCCCATGAATTCGTAGTCGGAGAAAATGAAGGTCTTGTTAGGGTCAAAGCCTATGGCGATGATGTCCTGACAGTTGGTTCGCGAGTAACCAATGACTTCCTCAACTGTCCTCTTTTCTGAGAAGAGAAACTTTTCGTCTATTTAAACGATGCTATTAGCCATCGTAGTCAGTTAAGACGGTATAAAAATACGAACCATCCGTAAGCATGATAACCAGGGGCACATCAAATACATCCTGTAACCACCTAGAACAACTTGGTCAGCCTACTTCTCTTTATATGTTATATAATTAAATTAAGTTCCGGATATATACTAACTTGCAGAAGTCGAAGATCTGTGTATGTCCGATGTGCATGCTGTCGCTACTAGGACCACGACCAGTGTATAAGAAGAAAGGTTCACCCTAAAGACCATTACTTAGATATAGCCAATAACTAATTGTCTGTCTTTTCAAGCTATACCTTCTCGTAACGATCCAATATTATACCGAGGTCGCGTTCGCTAAAGACGATTTGGCGTCGCAAGAAGCGATGAGGCTTGTGACCGGTAACCCTTTCGAATCTCTCTAGTATCTCCTTGTCGATCAACTTGGTGCCAAACTCCTCCACTAACTTCTTATAGTCGATCGCCTTAACTTTACCATCCTCACCAACCTCGCCAGCCACATTCCAAGGGTCAACTGTCTGCTTTGACGGATGAGAAGTCGGAACATTAGGATCCGCAGCAGACGGGACCTCTTTGGTCGGTGCCTCGAGCTCTGAAGCCATGTTTAATGTTTGAGTTAATTCGTCAGTCTTGGGTATCAATAAGAACTCCAAGCCAGCTTAGAGCCCTTCAATTGGAAAATGTGGCAGGAGTAATCAGCTTCTCAAGTAGAAGGACAACTGGAGGATTACGGCGTCGCAACAGCCAGTGAGTCAAATGGAGGGGCAATCTCCGTAACTTTTTTGGAGGGGCAAGTACCTAAGTACCGATATACGCAGGGTTCCAACTTCCAACTTGCCAAGAGAAAAAAGGTGAGCAAAAATGGATTCGGTGAGATGCGCAGAGTGGGTCTAAGTCAAGCCACATACCGGAGCGGAAAATCCGACCTCCCACCTCAAGCTCCAGCATCCAGCCTCAGCAATCCATTCGATTGCTTCGGTTTCCAATTGTCCATGTATCAATAATACACATACATACACAATACCTTTAAAGCGCCGCGAACCGTACATACCTAACGAACTTCGACCGCGCCCTATCGTCGTCTCTAGTTACAGAAGGCCTTCTGCAACTACTCTCCTTCCAATTTAAGCAAGATGACGTCGACAATCGGCATTCCCATCAAGCTTCTCAACGAGGCGCAAGGTCATATCGTGACCTTGGAGATTACCTCGGGCCAGACGTATCGCGGCAAGCTACTCGAAGGTAAACTCGCGTTTTATTTTGCTAATACAACTTTTCACGGGGAGCCCTCGAAGCTAACTAACTTCTCTACGCGTAGCCGAGGACAACATGAACGTACAACTCAAGGACATCACGGTCACGGCGCGCGACGGACGAGTAAGCCACTTGGATCAGGTGTATATCCGCGGCAGCCACGTGCGATTCTTTATCGTACCCGACATGTTGAAGTATGCACCACGCGTTTTAGGAAGAAGCAATTTTGGATAACTAACAGTCACCGTAGGAATGCCCCTATGTTCCGAAGTCGCAACGCGAGAGGTCGTGGTGTCGGTCTGGCCAGAGGACGAGCGACCGTTAGTAGAGCAAGAGCGAGCGGACGCGGAGGACGATGAGCATGTGCGGATCAGGAAGCTGGCCGTGTCAATAATCACCGGCGTTTTTAAAAACAGATGGGAAAAGTCTGAGATACCAATGTGCCAGCCAGTTATCGGGTGCTACTGGATACCGCGGTGGATGGCGTTGTTTACTTAGGTACACTGCTGGCAAAGGAATAGCTGGAGGATACGGGGCTATATTTAGGGGCTCGTCCTCTTCCACTCTCAAGTAGGCAACCTGACGCTTGCTCGTTTTCAACTCCCTGCTGAACACTACATAGCCGGTGTCACCGTCTGGAGGGATGCCATTGCGATAGATTGAGCTGACAAATATGGGCGGGAAACGAAGATAATTACCGTCAGCACTTGGCGTATGTAAATTTTCAGAGATAATGAATTCACAGGTGGCATTATTTGATTGCGGAAACAGGCATGAATATTGATCTAGGACAGACTTTTGAAAAGTTCAGACCAACATATAGGTAGGGGACCTTGAAGACCTGACTTTGAGTTCTCGGGACTGATATAGATATATGTGTGCTCAAGGGTTTGCTGTGAGGTACAATACAAGGTACCTTAATGAGAACACGTATATAAGCCAGGCTCTTCCTTCATTCATATAAACTCAATCAGTCAATCAAGCTCCATATACAGCACATATACCGCTCTTTTAGTCATTGGGGGCATAGCTGTTGAAATAAAATAAAAATTTCGGCAATTCCTTGCTTGATCAGAAACTAGTCGTTACTCTAGCAGGGAGCTACTCTAGGTATCTAAGGTAAATAGAACAATTCTAGAATAAAAACACTTATCATGAGCGAAGACTACAGCACTCCTTACGCTCAATCACCTTTGCGCAGATAAACATACCTTTCATCTCATCACAACTACTCGGCAAGTCTTTTATTCATATTGATTTCATTCCATTCATTCATTCATTCATAGCTACCATCTAGCTACCGATTCCCAGTGCCCGCACACGAACCGAGATAGAATTCTCAGATCTAGTAGTCCATCGAGGGGTGGCGGCTGCTGTTGTTACTGCGTAGCCCAAAAATCAGCATTATATTCTTCCTATTTAGGTATACTTGACGAAAAGAGGTATCAACCGAGACTAGGTACTTACGGGTCATACTGGTCCTGGCCGCCGTACTGCTGGTCATACAACTCCTCGGCTTGCCTCTTAGCGTGGTGCTTGGCCTTCTCGCGGTCTACAAAGTCCAGACCCTTCGTCTCGATGAGCTTGTCGACCTCGGCGCCTGCGATGCCGGCAAGGAGTTCCTTCGCGAAGGCGTGGTCGACTGCCTTGCCTGCAAGCGAGGATATGTCAGCTACCTAATTATTACTAACTAGTGTATTTATTCCAAGCGCCAAGTATAGTCGCTCGATGTTGTGGTAGCAAGCATACCTTCTTTGCGTTGACGGTCCTCGAAGAGCTTCATGGCCTCGAAGGAGGCAGCACCACCTATGAACTCGTGGGACAGCTTCGACTCGTGAGGCTGGCCGTCGTAGACCTCGTCGCGGGCGTTCTTAGCGTCGTCTAATTGTAATTAGCTTCACAACACATAGCGGTGGGTAATCCATCTTAGCGCTGAACATACCAAATCCGAACATGTTTGCTAGTTTATAACGATAAAAAAAAAAGTCGTTAAGATGGTTTGTTCGTCTTGTTTATTCGTCAAAATTGTTAAGTTGTCTTTGTTAAGAACCAAAAATTCAAAAGAATACAGATGAAACATGCTTATATAGGTAATCTAGGTAGGTACCTAATGGAGCAGCTTCCTCATACATAGGCTACCTCATTACGAGCTTAGTTAGCAATGACATCTTCATGTGGATCGGGGACGCTGCTGAAACCTGATCGGCTGGACCGGCACGCGCATTAGGGGCCGTAACAGGTAAGAGACAGAACTAAACAAGTTAAGTACGACTCCTCTGCCTCTGTTGTAGCAAATACGGGGGTATGCCGGTATAACGGAAAGGCGGAGTAGGCTGCCTCTGGTCATTCCTGCGATGTGATTTGCGCGTATTCCATCATGGCCAGATAATATGTCACACCTCATATCTGCATACCGCCAAGGATAGTAACATCTTACAAAGCTCCTATTTCATGCATTTTGGAAAATAATAGCTTTCAAGTGTACATAGTACCTATATAGCCAGTACCTAATAGCCTTCAATTCCAAAGCAGACGCATATTGCTGAGTAAGGCGATGTATGTTCAAATATCTCTACTAAAGCCCATAGGTTCTGCAGAGAGATATCGAATAATTATCCTAACCCCTCTTCCGCCGATAAATAACTGTAGAGTTATCGTAATCGACCTCGGGCTTACCTTAGGTAGGTAGATAGCACATGCTCACTTCACCTAAACCCATTGGACGCAGGGATGAAGCCTGAAACAGTTTATATATCGTAACCAACGCAAGACTCGCTATCCGACAAGGTCACAATTTCAAGAAACCCTCAGGGTTGACGGTGGACCGAGTTAGTATCCAACTTGCGAGGGTTGGAATCACTGGATCATGTCCTTTGCGTATCGAAACGGGGCCTCGTAATCCAGCCACCATTGACATCATGCTCGTTTCGTCGTCAAGCTGTTACCCGCCCAACTTACGTACGATTATTATGCCGTAAGAGGTGGGCTCGAGAAGGCTAGCGCCGGATCGAGAGATGCTGAATTTACTTGCAACTAACCTAGGACGTACGATGTAACTTGGAAGCACATGTGTGGTTGAAAGAGACAGGGTTGCCAAGCTAGGGTGCCAAGCCGATACCCGGCTTGGCAAAGCTTGTTCACAACTGCTGGGTCAAGCAAGTCAGGGGTTTGGACGTGGGGGATCTAGCTCGTTTATTGGTTGATTCTGAGATCATCTAGCCTCCATGAGTGAGGGAAACAAGGATAGATGATGAACCGAACTTGTTTCACGATTGTAGAAAGAATATATGACAGTTATAGGTAATAGCACAACGCAAAAACTGGTATCTTTTAATCCCTTCTGTCTAGGTACCTAAGATAGATAGATCGCTCATGACTTATGCTGCACCCCCTCCAAACTTAGCCTTGTATTCGCCGTGTGCCTTCTTTTGCCTGTCCCAATCCTTCTTTAACTTTTTCAATTGGCTCTTAGCAACTTCACTGCCGTCCTTCATCTTCGTAGGCAATCCTTCAGCATCCCATTCGCTATACCGATCGTCGCTCTTAAACATTTCCTCTGGCGCCACTTTTGCCTTTTCCCATTTTTCTTCTTCGGCTTTTTCTCTGGCAATTCTTGCTTCTTCCTTCGCACGTGCTTTCTCCGCTTCCTTGGCTGCCTTTTCCTCTCTTGCTGCGATTAACTCGGCCGCGGGAACAAATTTGATCAACGATGGCTGATCCGGCCGATCGTCTAAGTAGACTCCGAGATTAGTGAGATCAAAATCTCGCACTCGGTCGCTCAAGGTCAGGATTGACTTCTTCACTTCCGGTGATGCTGTCGGGGCTAGACGCCGGAGCTCATCACGTAACTTGGCCACTGCTCGTAGATATGGCAATGCCAATTGTTCTGGGTCTCTAGTTCCAGCACTGGCTAAAGATTCAAACTCCGGATCCGGTGATTGAGAGAGAAGGTTGGTGATAGTTTCAGAGGAAGAAAGCTTCAGAGCCCGCACGTCAGAATAGACAGTCTCATATACAGTCTTATATGGCTGCACGGTCGTTGCCGGGTCTTGGTTAGTCGCTGCGGCGGCAGAAACCCAGCCGAGACCTTCATAAGGAGGGCTCGCATTCGCGTCGAGACCAAGGATTCCAACTATCTTGGTAATCCACCTTGCAATTGCTTCAACTGCTGGTAGGTCCACATCGGACTTTTGGGTGTTAATATGAACGTTGGCTTTTCTAATGACTTCCGCTATTGCCCGTAAGACTTGTGGCGTGTCAAAAGAGTTAGTAAAGGCTTCCTCGACGTCCGTCTTAGCTTGTTCTAAATCGGCTCGCAAGCCTTCTTGAGATTTATCATTAATCGAGAGTGCCTTCACACCGCCATCCACAGTCGTCGAAGAGCCCGCTGCCTCAGCTAGAAGCGATTTTGTGTTTGTGAAAAAGTTCTGTTGGCATTAGTAGGCATTTGCAATCGAGGAACTAGTAGGCAGCTTACATTTACCAGGCTTTCCCAGCTGTCGGCTTGAGTTCTCATATCCGGCGATATTTCAACACCGTCATTCCATCTGCCGAGAAGGAAAACTATGCGCATTGACCGTGCTGTATATGTTGATGCCAGCGCGTCCTTGATTGTCTGGAAATTCTTGAGGGATTTGGACATTTTCGACCCGGAAATCGATAAGTGGCCCATGTGCAGGAAGTAGTTGACCCAGGTATGCTCATGACCGTGTTCGCAGAAATACGCCTCGCTTTGAGCCAGTTCATTGTCGTGATGTGGGAATGCCAGATCGATACCACCACTATGGAGGTCCATACGTGAACCTAGGACATCGGACGCCATTACTGAGCATTCGATATGCCACCCTGGCCGTCCGTTGCCCCATTTGCTTGGCCAGTACGGTTCACCTGGCTTGGACTTCTTCCATAGTGCAAAATCGCCGGCACCCTTCTTCCCGCCCAGGCTCTTGGATAAGGAGCCCTCGCCTTCTTCTTGCAGTGCCTTGTCATTACGACTATCCGGTCGTAATCTCGCATACGTATTTCCCGCCTTCTCGAACGCTGCAATGTCGAAGTAGACGGATCCCTCAGCCTCGTACGCATAACCCTTTTCGACAATCTTCTCGACGAATTTGGCAATCTGGGGCACATACTCGGTAACTCGCGTAACTACATCGGGGCGGAGCACGTTTAGAGCATCCATATCGTCAGTAAATTCGCCTTCCATAAACCTGGTTAGATCAGTAAAGATTGACTGATCGCTCGTATCAATGGTTTCCTTGTATAGGGAATCCAGATATGGCAGCAAGATCTCGTCTGCACCTCCGAACACCTGGTTGCCACCGATAGCGATGACGGCGGTGGTCATATTGCTTATGTGCATCTTCAGCTTTGCCTCGGCGTCTCCTGGCTTGCCTTCTCCTGTCAGAGTGCCTCCTGCTAATACATTTCCATACGCTGCGTCTCTTCGCGGAATATAATTGTTGACATCCAGCTCACCCTCGCCTTCGAGAAGCTTAGGGAGGTTGCTCTTCGCATATGCTCGGAACGCAGCTTTCGCTAATTCTATCGTCTCGGCATCTGTGTAGTTCTTTTGTTTCTCGAGATCGAGCAAGCGTTGTCTTCGGGCTTTTATTATAATCTTTTATATAATTAGCTATATAAGTATACCCTTAATAAATACCCAGGTAGTATCCGTACCTTATCATCTACATCTGTAAAGTTCATAACGAACTTGACGTCGAATCCAAAGTAGTGCAATAGGATGCGTCGTATGATATCGGTCGAGACATAATTGCGCGCATGACCTAAATGGCTCTGGTCGTAGACGGTCGGACCGCAGGCATACCAGGAAACTTTTCCCTTCTCGATTGGAACAAAAGGTACTGGCGCTCCTGGTTTTAGAGAGTTATGAACCCGGATCGTGGAAGTGGAAGACATGGTGGGGTGTGTCGCAAAACCTCTACGAGGTAAGTATTGGATTGCACGAGTATTAAATAGATGCCACCTAGATACTCTAAAGAAGAGGAAGTTCATTAAGACAAATAGACATGAGAGTATCCAGGAAGTAAAAGGGGGGGGACTTGTTATAAATAATTTGGAGTCAGCTACTAATGTAAAAGACAGGTATTTTTGAGTCACAGAGACAATGTCGCAATTTGGGTTGGCACCGCAGAAAAGTAGTACATGCCACAATGCCTCAGCTAAATTAGTACCTTCCTTTAGGAGATAACATTGAAAGTATATAAGCAGTTACACGTAATTAAAACCTAGTCAATTTAAGCTACATTCTAAAATACAATTCGACTAGGACCTACTAAACAAAAATTAATTCTCAGACTCAACTTTGAGTCTCCTCAACTTTTGTTGAAGTTAGGAACATTATTGTTTATACGCAGTACATGCAGCCTTGAAGATTATCGGGATTCTAGGTTCCGCTACCCCTCTATCTTATACCGTGAAGTATGTAGATAACGTTATCGATTACCAAAAGTGCCCCTCCATCCGTTGTTCTCTCAGCCTTACCCAGGCTTTTTTTTTCTTAGCCTCGAAACTCATCAGATACCTATATTCAATACTTCCTCTGCCATGCATAGACGCGGCCTTAACACCTCATTTTTGTCAATTGAGAGCTAGTTTCTACTACACACTCGAAACTACCTAAAATATATTAATTAATATTTATTAATATGTCGGCTGTCTCACCATTTCTCGACCCTGGTCCTCGGACGACACAGAATACATTGGTTCTAGCTCATCTATCTCGAGATAGCATCCAGCCCATTTACTTAAAAGATACTTCTGGTACAGCCGATGGATATGTTGAAGGTCCAGTTTTGAATACACGATTTGGCTCATTTCCACATTCAACTTTACTCGATAAGCCTTGGGGTTCGCAGATACGTGCCTCAGTTGTAGACACAGGTTCTAGAGGTAGAAAGCTGAAGCTTCAACGTGAAGGTGAAGAGCTAGATAATAGCGTAGAGGACGTCGTATCAAGCACAGCGGCAGCCAAAGATGTCAAGACGGCACCGAGTGGCTTCATACACATTCTACCTCCTACCCCTGAGTTATGGACAACGAGTTTACCACATCGAACTCAAGTAGTATATACGCCTGACTACAGCTACATTCTCCACCGGATCCGCGCCCGTCCCGGTATGAAGATAATTGAGGCCGGGGCAGGGAGCGGAAGTTTTACGCACGCTTCCGCTAGGGCCGTTTACAACGGTTACCCCAAAGACGCACACGATATAAAGGGCAAAGTTTTCAGTTTCGAGTTTAACCACGATCGATATCAGAAGATGCAAAAGGAAATCGAGGATCATCGCTTAGATGGAATCGTTCAGATTACCCACAGAGATGTTTATAATGACGGCTTTCTGGTCGACGGCGAAAGTCCCGGAGCTGAATGTGTCTTCCTCGACCTACCAGCACCTTGGAAAGCACTTCCCCATCTTGCGAGAAGTAGACCAACACCATCTCAACTCTCAAGCAGCGGGCTAGACAGTCTTGAAGACACTGGATCCGAATGGAAATCCCCGCTTCGTCCGGATCGGACTGCCTATCTTTGCACCTTCTCCCCGTGCATTGAACAGGTTACTAGGACCATTGATGTCATGCGCCGCCTGGGTTGGATGGAAATCGAAATGGTCGAAGTTGCACATAGGAGGATAAATGTCATGCGAGAGCGGATTGGTTTAAACTTACCTGCGGGGGATCGAGGCGCGAGCCAGACAGCAGCGAACGTTGCAGAGGCTCTGGCCAAGTTACAGGAAGTCGAAGGTCGAGTTAAGACTTTTCGCGGTCAATCCCGTGATGAGGATGTTGAGATGGGTGAAGATGACGTGGCGACGGCCGATGGCAATCCTATCGACGGCAGTAAAACATCTATACTAGGCAATGAGTCCGAAAGTGTTCAATCACACAAACCCTGGATGACAGGGAGAGTGATTCATCGGACAGAACCCGAGATCAAGACGCATACTTCATACCTCGTCTTCGCACTACTGCCGCAGGAATGGACAGAAGCGCAGGAGGCAGCAGCTTTTGAAAACTGGCCATGCGGAAAGGAAAGCAAGGTCATCGGAAAATTAGATAAGGAAGCACGAAAACAAGAGAAGCGAGAATTACTCCAGGGAAAGAAGAGAAAGAAGGATACTGATAGCAGGTCCGAAGCTGAGCGCCCTTTACCAAAGAAGAGTAAGACGCCATAGGTGGAAAACTTAAGATACATAGGTGTAGATATGGCATATGATACCCCGGCCTATATGGTCATTCAATCAATCTGATAAGGACTCGTACTTGTCTCAATATCTAGGTATTATGTATAGATCTCCAGCCACAAGATCTTGTATACTCTATAGATTAAAACCTTGTAAAAATATTATCAAATAACTAATTGACATTAAACACTATACGACGTTTTGTATGATATCTTGGAAATATCACGACAGCCACGGTAAGTTAAAAGAACTTAATAAATAGATATTTCAGGCATCTGAGACAAATATAACATGGAAGTTATATAAGCTTGGCTTTTAGGTCCTTGCGATATCCGTTTCATCAGGCGGCTTGATCATACAAAGCAGTATTTCAACAAAAACATCTGAAAGGGGCAAGCTGGTATGTAATTGGAAATTGGAAAGTTTTGTTGGAAAGTTTTGTTTTTTTTTAATTCGCATTTCCCAATAAAGATTAATGTTAAAACTTTCCTAAGTTAAATTCGGTCTATAAGGTGATCGGATTTCCGTAAACTCACAATAGCCTCAATATCTTACTTATTGCGCTATACTTGGAATCTAAAACCAAAACCATCGGCTTTGGTTTTTAACATATTTAATTGAAAAGTTTCGCCGGCAAAACTTTCCAATTAGCACAACTTATTGTGCTACACGGCATTTTTAGTATGTGCCAAGATATCCAACCTTTTCTAGATTTTACTAAACCCTTGGTATTGCCATATTGATATAGATTAATGCAAATATTTAGTTGAGCTTATTATAGGTTTTGTTACACTTCTTGACTTTTTAATTAACTAACGTATTTTCACGCCTTAAACTATTAGATCAGGTACATAGGCACCTATGTACCTAATTCATGATAGACGAAGATCAGAAGATCATAGCTGCAAGCCAACCTCTAACTACTATCCTGCACATCATGTTTTGACAGCGGAAAATAGTAACACAAGTACGACGTGAAACATTTCAGGTACAATACCGTGCGCTGTAATAACCAGGTACGGTACCAGCTCTAGAACAAGCCAATAATGTGCATGGAAATGCCAGTAATCCTTAGGTAATAAGGAAGCTAGCACTGTTTCATTAATGGCGGCTATGACACGCGCTGATCCCTGTAACTGCCTTGCATACTTCTTTTAAAGGAAGGATCCGCGCCTTGGTATTCAACTTCTAGAACAAGAGGGCACCCCTGTGGGGCACCACAATAGCCCGAGTTTACGAAGGTCAATCACGTGCCGCTGCTGGCGGGCGGGTGGGCGGGCGGCGCGCCGCGCGCCGACCGCCCACCCGCCCGCCAGCAGCGGCAACAAACTCGAATACCAGCCTTTACTGGAATTTCTTTAAAAATTAAAAAAAAAAAAAAAAAAAAAAAAAAAAAAAAAAAAAAAAAATTTGGAAAATGGAAGAAAGCGTGGGGTTCGACCCCTTAGCACCTTGGAGGAAGGCTCGAAATAGTACGTATTTCGACTTTTTTCTCGAAAGTGGGGAATTATGTAAGACCCGTTATTTTTAGAAGATGCACCCAATAAAAACGCTGGAGGGCTGCGCACGGACGAACTTCCTTCTCAAGGAATTCTTCCATTTTAGGAATTTGAGATCAGCCAGACAATATCCCTCGTAAACTCGGGCATTACACCTCCGCGTCTTCAAACTTCTTTCATTTCAAACTCTCCAGCTTCCAAAGCGGCCGACCAATGTCACGGACAGCATCCTCTAGGGATTTAGGAGATATAATTGAGGGTTAATTGAATTACCTAACACGGTATACAGTTTGCTTCATCAGTGACGAAATATCTATGCTTCTCTAGCAAATCAGTTAAGCAAAACATCGCTAACAAATTTGAATATTAGGATAGACTATGAGCAATATATTCGCGACAGCCGGATTAGGGGATTCAAGCCGCGAGTTTCGTCATATAGTAGAATGACAAAATCTCAGGACAATTAATACGATGGCGGCTACACCTGAACCAGAGCGAAGTCTAAATGAAATTTATCGTTCAGGTCCCCCCAGATCCTACATCTATATCATTCACCAGTAAAGACTGGAACTTTTTTTTAAAGCTACTATGGGACGCCAAGGTTTATCCCGGTCCTCAACATCCATAAAAGTTACTCTTATCTTGGCATGTTTCGCTTTGACTGGTCCTTAACTGATGGCATCGTCCCCTGAGAGTATAGGAGATTACGCGTCACACGGAGATGATCTTTGTCCATCTTGTCATGTAACACAGGCATCATCGCTAATATACATTGCGTCTTACCAGGTATCGTCAAGCTATCAAGCCTCTTATTGGTGGCCCTAGTCAGTAAAATGTCTCCACCAAGATCAAAGTCTGGATCTTGTTAAGTCTACAGAAATTCCATCGAGTCTCATTGTATCTTGCTTCAACTACACACTTGGTGCTTAATATTCTCTTCTACGGGAAAGACATAACCGTTCTCTATTCAGCCTGCCCTGGTGGTGTTTTCGCTTTTGCCCTGGCGGCCTTACAATCGTTTAAATTTTAGTCCAGATCAAGATACTTACTAGTTTTATACCCATATTACCAAGATAATAGTCATGTCAGAATATTCGTGTCCGGTGTCTGGCTCCGTTGGAGGAAGATGTCCTGTCGGGCATGCAGGTTCAGGACATGCGGGTTCAAGCAGAAGCAGAAGTAATAGTCGAATGGGACCTCGAGGTTGTGCCTTTTCAGGATATGGCCAGCCAGGAGACCTTCACGCAGCTTTTGATGTACGTTACGTTGCAACCCTACAGTCTTCGGGAATTAGCTAATGGCAATAGATTCCGCGGGGCGTTGATGCCGGGGAATGGCTCCGGATGAGGTACGAATTTGAGAATGGACTGACTGACTTACACCAGCTAAAAAAGGCCTATGTAGAGAACGCAAATCGATAAACCAACTGCTTTATAAAAATATTCCATCGGTCCAGGAAATTAATGCGGTCAAGACTCAAGCGGAGCTCGATGCCTTTAACGTTCGAGAGCAAGATCTACTAGCCGTAGCGTTAGGCGCACCGGCAAGGCAGGTTATGTTGAGAGCAGAGGAGATCGGCCCAAAAACTGGTTGGTTAGACGGCTATCTTAGTGCAGAGCACGGTTTCTGTCCACCGGACTACGAAGAGGCCGCCGGCGCACTGGCAAGGACTCCCGGCCGGATATGGGCCGATCTTTGCGAACGTATGCCCGGTTGCGTTGCAAGAGGGCGTGTCCAAGAATCGGTTGCAGCGCTTCCCCTCGTCGAAGGAATCAAAGAAGTGATTCCGGATCAAGCGCTTTGGGCAGCTTTAGTAGCTTTAGGAAGTAAGTATGCGTTAGAGTGGCTCGTTTTCCCTTAACCCCTTGCTTTCGACACCGCAGGACTGGAACGGGTTTAAGGGCCATGTACTCGTGGATTCTATTTTCATTACACATATCCCCATGTCTTCTATACTCTATGGATACTAACATTGAACCTCATAGTGATATGCTCAATCTATCGCTTCGAAGAAAAATATGATGGTAGTGACGGGATTACTTCCACGCGTACTAAGAAGAAGAGGCCTAACGTCCCGATGGGCGATGAATTTGGTGAGGAGTTGGCTGGTATTCCGCGATGTGTAGCATTGCCGTATTATCAGATCTCACGACGCATGGGCCGGACTCTCCCTCATCTTACTTTCCCCGACCAGTCCTCTTATAATATTAAGATCCGAGATCCTACCTCAATATATCCCTATATCGCACGCTCCGAGAACATAGATCTTCGTTGGCCTATGTTTGGCGAGAAAGCTGAGGTGGCTTTCCTGAAAGGTTGCGCTGAAACGTCAGGTAAGCATAACATCCTATCCATTTTCTGTTCAAATATTGATTTTCATAGCATCCTTCCAACATGGCCCAGATGCGATTGCCGCGTGCCAAGAGCATGTTATGAACAGGAACGTAGAAGGACTTCTTCGGGAGATGATTCGACTGAAGGAGATTCTGGAACGGATGCCCAACGCTTTCCATTCTATCAATGTTAACCCGAACTCGGGAGAGCAATATGTCCCGGTGCATCAGTGGGTTCGTTGGGCCAAATTTTCTGCGCCTTTGTCTAGGAGATGCCCAGCTTCTTCAGGTCTGCAATTCCCTCCCTATCTAGTCATGGATGCATTTCTAGGACGGAAGAAGTAAGTTAGAAAATCGCAAAAAAACGGTTCCAGGGATAAAATTGCTACTGGGGCAACTGGTCTCAATGCTTATTCCCACCTCTTTCAACTTTAAATATAAGGGGTAGCTGCTAATTCTTAGTAGATACACATCCTTCCTTGGTGCAGAAGGCGTACATCTGAGGGCCTGGCTTCCTTCTAACCTTCGAGCCTTTATTGCTGCCATTGAGTATCACTACCGCATCCCCGAATTCGTCCAGCAGTCTGGCGATCCACGACTGATGGGCGTGTTGGATGGCATTATCGAGGCATATACAGGCGAACGAGGCTTCATGGGCACTCATCGTTACAAAGTCTTCGGTATTCTTGAGATCGCTGCGAAGACGGGACGTACTGAAACGAACGGCCTATCTGGTGCTGCAGATGCGGGGCGTCCGTGGGAAGAGACCCATAAGCAGTTTTCAGATGCTATGAAAGAGCGTCTTGAACCATACCGTAAGTTACCGATACATACAGAAAGAGAATTATGCCCTAGAAGCTAATGCGCTGTGTGATATGTAGGTGGGAGTCTACCAGTCGAGCCACATCAGATGAGAGGTACATTTGAAGAATGCCGCTATGTGACCAGAGTCCTGAATCGATCCTACGTTGACTCTGATTCTACGCGATCAATTGCACTAGTAACTCTAGATATTCAAGATACGGGAATTACTTTCATGGCTGGAGATCGTCTCGCAGTCATGCCACTTAACAGCTGGGAAGAATGTGCGAAGGTTGCCGCCGCCCTAGGATTAGAGACCCGTATCGACGATCCCGTCGATGTTACCGGTACATGGTCTCGATTCGAGCAGCATCTAGCGTCTGTGAGAAGGACAGCAGCAAAGAAGCTGACCGTGGCCGATATACTTCGTCGGGGTCATCTAGCACCCATTACTAAAGAGCTCGCCCTAAAAATCCATAGCCTCCTTGCTGCCTCCTCGAACACCGTCCTTCAAGTCTTAGCCACTGACGAATGGCCCGTCCGAGGTTCGCTAGGTGACTTACTGCAGGGTGCGCTTATGGATACTCCAGCTCACATATGGGATAAGGCGTTCAACCTCGACAACCTTTCATGGCTGGCCGATCTCATCCCAGTCGAAGTGCCTCGCACATACTCTATAGCAAGCTATACAGACGAGCTTCTCCCAAGTACTGTTGATTTGGCCATCTCGCGTGCCGAGTACAAACTCTGCTCTACATTTTCTAAGCAGGATGACGTAAATCGTGCTGGCGTTGCAAGTGGCTTCTTTAACCCGCACCCTCCATCGGACGACATGGTATCAGACGACGAGATCCTTGTCGGCGTATCCCGGCCTCTGGCTTTCCATCTGCCTTTGGATAATATGGCTCCTTGTGCATTCTTCGCCGGTGGCAGCGGAATCGCTCCATTCCGAAGCTTTTGGCAATATCGCTTGAATACCAGTGGCTTGTCTGGAGGCAAGAATCACTTATATTTAGGGGTTCAGTCGCGCGAGAAATTTTGCTTCGAGGATGAGCTGAGGGAGTATGTGAATGCGGATTTTATGGAAGTTCACGTAGCCTTCTCGAGGGACTCCCGTGGCCTCGCTTACGACCCTCACACGCATGACCTGGTTGAGAAACATATCCCTCCTCGCTATATCGATACTCTGATTGTCGAGCAAGGTGCCACTGTATCAGATCTCGTCATGTCGAAAAAGCAGGGAGGTCTAGGCGGCTACCTCTACGTGTGCGGCTCCGTTGCGGTCTTCGATTCCGTGATGAACGGGATCCGCAAAGCAATATATACTCACTGCACAGCGACCATGGAAAATGTCGACCTGATTATCAATAAAGCCTTCGCGGAGCGACGGTTCATGCTCGACGTTTTTATGACTCCAAAGCCCCTCCCTTGTAACCTACCAACAATTCCGTTATCTCAACTCGCTCAACATACTGGCCACAGACCGGGATCCCGTATGTGGATTGGGGTTCACGGGAGCGTATATGACGTTACAGACTTTTCCCCTATGCACCCTGGAGGCACGCAGATCATTAAGTCTAATGCTGGCGTCGACTGTTCTAAGTCCTTTGACAATCTAGCTCATACCAATAATCCTGAAGTTGTCAGTCTCTTGACTAAGTATTTTGTCGGACACCTAACGCCAAAGCCCGATTACCAAGGTGGCGAGGAAGAAATATCTGCTCTGTATGACCTGTGGGCAGGTTATCTACGTACTACGGTTGAAACCCTAGTGGCACATCAAATCGAGATGTACGAAATCCAGGGTGCTTCACTGAAAACATCCTCAGCTTACGACCCGTCTGGGTCTAGCAATATCTGGCTCCGTGAAGACCTACCCAACATCATCGCTATTCGCACCTTTTATGGCTACCAGAGCAGATTGCTACAAGGGGGGTTTACCGCCCTGTTCGGTGCTAAGCTACAGGAACTTGTACTCAAGCTCTCATTCAGTCTCGCCAACGCGGGTGGTGCTGGGGCAAATATCCAACTGCCAGACGTGCTAGGAGCAGTCGCACGTGCGAACACTAGTTCGGATGCTATACAGTGTACAAACGAAGTAGCACTTGTTGGCCAGTTCATCTGCGGTACCTCAGATGCCCTCCGTTTCCATGAGCGTGGTGTCTTCGCTTACGCAGCTAAGAGTGTAGAGCTAGACATAGAATTGCTTGAGGATCTCCGCCAAGAAATAGGAACTGGCATGGACGCTTTTGACAGTATTGCGAGCACATATAGCTCGTCCGACAAAATGCAGGACCCAGATTTCGATGCCAACCGCCTCGCAGCTCTCTCAACATTCCTTCTCCAGATCCTTGAACGAATTTCACGCCGTCTGGGAATTTTCTATGCCCAACTTGCTCAGTGCTCAGTCTACAGGCCAGAGCTCGAGCGAAACCCCGCCAGAACCCGATGGGCTCTCGTGCGACGGTGTATTTGGGATGGAAGTTTGTTTATTATGGCACACAAAGCCGCCGCTGATGTTCTTACAGCGGGGCAGCAATCATCTTACTACGTATCCCGTGCTAATCCCAACCAGAACGTCGATTTCGACCGCGTCATGTCTCATGTACGAGCAACCTTAGGCTCGGCACAAATCGAATTCCAGCCAAGCACGACTCAGCAACCTCTCACGCTAAACGCCGTACACCAGGCCCGAGGGAGGAGCTCAGGAGACGCGAGCGCGGTCGCAATGCGGGATAATGCAGGTTCCTTACTGGCTATGAATAGCTTCGTGGAGAAAAATAATAAAGCGATTCGTAGGCTCAGCAAGATGCCTCCAATGCCCATGAGCTTTGAAGAGCTACAGAGGTCCGCTCTAGGACATACTAGCCTCCACACGCCGCCAGCAGACTCCCCGGAAATGAACGCCATGATGGCAGGTCTCAGTGTCAAAGATCTAGCCGGTCACACTACCAGACTCCCTACACCCCCGTCTAGCCGTGGATCTAGCCGTTCTACATCCCAGGTCCGCCGCCCATCTAATAGCATGTCGTCATCAGCCGAGATGCTCCTAAACAAACTTAACCAATCTCGAACTCTTCACAGCCGACAGAGCTCTCCTATGGCCCATCACACGCCACACCTACCACCACATCACGAGCAGCCGCAACACTTGCCGCACTACCCCGTAATCGGCGGCCACCCAACACCGTCCGTGCCCGGACAGCCCAAGACTAATGCCCATGCGGCGCTAAGCTCCGTGATGGGACAGCTAAACACACGACGTCCGCGCAGCGACGCACCAGCAGCGTCTCTATCTAGATCGGCATCTATGTCTAGGTCTATGTCTACCACAAACTCGCGCGTCCGATCTACTTCGAGATCCAGCGCGAGAAGCGTCGCAGGCCACGACCATAGCTACGGCCACGGCCACGTTTCCATGCAATCCATAACGTCGTTGCGCGCGTTCAAGCTCAGGGGCTTGGCGGATGCGGGGGAGAGGTTTGCGCCGGCGACTTAGGAGGGTAGGTCGTAATGGGATAGATAACTTGGGAGCGGGTTAATTCGGAAGAAGGGTATAAATAGAGGTTAATGGGAATGGAATGGAATAAAACTCGTTCGTATATCACGTCAAGTTGTGCAAAGAAAATAAAGGAGGATCGTCAAAACATTTAGATGGTACGAGTAGACGAAAAATTGAATATGCTGGTCATTGCGAAGTATTGTTCCATGTGTGCGTACTTAGCTGTATACTCTTCGCTCGTGATTGTAATTTGTTTCTCGTATACCTACCTACCTAACCTATATAACTATGATCTAGGCCTACTTTGGTGTAGAAACTGGAGAATACCCGAGTATACTATTCGGCATTTGCTCTCTGGGTAGTTGAAACCCTCTTGTAAGCGTACCTACCTACCTAATGACAAGACTCTTGCGTATTTGAATATATTGCAAAAATACATGTTGCCTAGAACTAAAAGATAGGTAGACACTAAAAGAATGTCTAATATCGATAACCTTACCTTCCGGTAACAAGTCTCAGCTTTTCGAACCTCCGTTTGTCTTCCCCTTAACCTCCCCATTAGCCATATCTAATCTCACAAACACCTTTAAGGCCGCCTCATTCTGTCCCTTAACATCAAACTCGTTCGTAAAAGCCGCCATCTGTCCAAAAAACTCCATCATCCTCGCCGGATCCTCGTGCATGCCGTCCTCAGCATACGCATACACCCGTCCGAATTTACGCGCGAGTTCTACGACTGCTTGGCTCCGAGGCCTTCGGACCCCGTCGAAGGCTCGAAGGGCATGCTCGATCTGCTCCGGACGCTCGACGTGAGCGAGGAGGTAATCGAGCACAGCCGCATCTTCGAGAGCTTGGGCTGCACCATTGCCGGCGAACGGCATCGCGGTGTGCGCTGCGTCGCCGAGCATAGCGACACGGCCCCGCGCGTAGTAGGGCGCATGATCGTGGTCTGCTATTGTCTAGGATGAGCTTGTGTCCTTGGCTACCATACGCACTATCTGCTGAGCCTCTTCGCTGTAGTCGGCGTATAAGGTTGGGTCGAGCGGTGGAGCACAACCGTCGATCGTCGAGAAGGCACCGCGCACAGCGACGCCGGCGCTCAGGCGTGTATTCTTGTTTAATGGGATACAGTTGATGTGGTCCCTTGGTCCGAGGAGAACGGGGACATTTATGGTCCACTTAGGGTTGATCTACTTCCTCACCTCATCAGTCGACACCATAGTCCGGTAGATCTACCACCCGTCGTGGTTTTTAGGCGACGTAGCGGGATAGTCTGCCCCGAGAAGGTAGCTCCGGGTCACACTGTGTACTCCGTCGGCCCCTAGGAGGCAGTCAACCTCGATCTTGGTTCCGTCTTGGAAGGCCAGGCGGACATTCGGCTTGCCGGAGACTTGCTCTTTAACATCGACGAGCTTCTTACCAAAGCTAATGGCTTCCTTTGGAATTAGTGCTGGGAAGCCCTTCAGTAAATCAGCTCGGCTGACTGTCTTTCTTCCCTTCGCCCTACCAAGTTCCGCTACTAACTGGCCTTTATGTGGCCCCTGACCTAGAATTACCTCGGTTGCCATCACCTGATCCTCGTCGCCCATGGACAGAGCCATATCAAAGTACGTCTGTCTTACTTCAGGTCCGATAAGCGCCATAGACTTAATGGCATTAAGATGAAGGGCCAGACCGGCACCAACATCTTTATAAGCCGAGACCGACTCGTAGACATGAACATCAATATGCCGTTTCTTAACCAAGCCGGCCGCGAGAGCAAGACCAGCGATACCGGCTCACACAATTGCAACTTGAATCCGGTTCTTCGCCATTATTAGAATAATGGTTGCAATGATAGAACTCGGCCATGGTACTCAAATATCAAGAGATGCTGACGTATAGCATTTAAATTTTGTGAGATAACCTGAACGCGCAAGCAACAACGTCACTAGGTCTCTCCTGTCAGACCCAAACAGAGCGATAACTTGCGAGTCTCGGGTATACTGTAGACATACTTAACTTGGTGTATGCCCATATCTAAGGCATTTATTGTATCCTAAGACTCTCAAAATAGGAGTGACACAATGTAGATAGGATGCCTACCTGTAGTAGACATCAAAGGTTAGACGATATGACACCTCATAACTCGTCCAGTTCCCTTTAGGCATGTCGGCCATTATTACTTCGACTTGTCTAAGTAAAGAAACCTCCGGAACCGTGGATATGTAGTACTGTGATTTTTTTTTTCGATAGTTCAAGGCTGTAGGGATGAGCCACTTTCCACTCGAAAATAGGCCTCCTAGTATGTATATTGGAACATCCGGATTAACCCGGGTACGTAACACCGTATCAAGGGTTTTAAGAGAGAATATGTCAATATGTTCCGTTCTACCGGTAGTGAACCGGCATTTTGGGATGGCTTGTACGACTTCAAGGCCTGTGAAAGGTGAAAGGGCGTTTGCTAGCCTGAGGGTTTAGTTGGGGAAATATGAATGTAAGCGTTGTCGTGATTCTAGTGTGTCATACAAATAGAACCAGTGGCTTGGGACTGTTCTTCGAGAACCCCCAATTCTCCAGTTTAGCTGCTACGGTTGTTATGTATATGGAGCAATGCCACATGGTGGACGATGAAGCGTTTCCCAAAGTAAAATACATGCATAGTACGCTTGCCAATGATGCGCGGAAATCTTATCAGATCAAAAGCCCCCTGATGATTGGGACAGGGCTGACGAGTGGATTTCCCGTCAGGATTATGGTATGTATGCATACATAGGTACCTATCTAACTGCAGCAATCAGTCGTGGCGTGACCGGTAGCCAATGCATCCGGAATTGTTGAGGCCAGGGATATTTTCTTTAAGCGAGAAGCGCAAATGAAAAAAGCGAAAAATAGAAATTTCCATGTCAGCCTCGACCTCGACGCGCGGTGTAGAAACAGTGGGCGAATCCAGGGGTATGGTACGATAGATGGAATGTTTCGAAACGGATTAAAGCCGTTTATGTCGTTTCACCTGGAAAGACGCTATCGATTGATTGATTGATTGATTGATTACGTATATTTGTATCGATATGTCGTAGTGTAAGTCTACACTATATTAAGCCTCAATGCAAACCCAGGTCGGATGCCGGGTCCCAGGTACGACTACGGAGGATTTTAATTTTCTCGGTACTTGGCTTCATTTCCGGGGAATTGGATATGAGGTAATTGAAAAAACGAGTTCAGGTCCAAGCGTCCTTATCTGATCGAAACTGCTTGCGTCGTTCTGAGACGTTCCTTTACGTAAGCCGCCTAATGTAACCCTAATCATCAGAAAAGTTGCTAAAAATGTGGATTACGTCGTAAGGTCCGATATCGGCAGAACACGTTGATCAGATTGATAAAGATTTTGTGCTCTGTGCTGTGGTTAGTCAGTCGTTTGTTTGATTGATTAGATTACTGCCCGCCCGATCCCCCGATCCCCCAATCCTTCAAAGCAATGTTGTGCTCTCTCCCCCATATCGCTTGTGTCGGTTATCTCACAGTAAGAAGATACTGTGCTTCCAGAACCGTGTAAACGCGGGACTGTGCAACCGTCCCATTACATTAGTAGATCAAAATGTCTCAGCTGTAAAATTATATCATCACTGTTTGCAATTGCGTCGTTTCACCGATTGATAGAGGCGTTAACGGTTTCCTGTATACCAATTAATACGGCTTAACGATAGGTATTAGTTGGATTTGCATAGTAAAGCATCTACATATCGTAAGAGAGAAAAGGTTGTTCAGGATTACATGACCTACCATACCTAACAGGGTTAGTATCGTATGTATGTACTTGGCACGGAAGAACGGTTCTCAGTCGGCAGAGTGCGCCCGCAGGCCCCGTCGGGTCCAAATGCCAACTCCACCAAAGCCTCTCAGCCGGTGTTGCACCTATTTTAGCTTGAATTGCAGCCGAGGAAGAAAACTGGGCTCGATCATGTCGAATGATGACACCGTATTCGCATATTTCGGTGTGAGAAGGCCCCGATTTTTTGGAGAAGACGATCCGGGGTAGCGGGCAGCAGCAGATTCAGGCCAATACCATTGAGCCAGATGGTCAAGTGATTAAATATTGTGCAATTCTTGACGAGCCAACCAGAAATTTGTTGCTTCAATATTTGAGCTATAGAGCAAGACATCGTACTGCCGCGAGAAAAAGAAGTTAATCAGCATTGCCGCTATTTTATCCCCCCCTCCCCTATCATCGTTCGTCGTCACCATCGTGGCGTTAAGCATGACGACCCAACAGGGAGGGAAGATTCAGGCATGATTGGTAAGTGATACCCGAGGTAGATAGATTAGTGATGTTAGATCATAGGTAAATAAGCAATAATATGCGAAGGCGTAATCTGACTTAAAAATAGGAGTTAGGTACCTGTTAAAGAGTATTATCAATATTGAATATTAAACTGACTACACTAACTTACGGGGCAAAGCCTACCGCGAACTAACAGTTGACATATTAACAGTTGATAGTGAAACGGATTAGGTCGGCAAAGACCGGAGTCTAGCATCAAAATTAAAATTAGAAAGAACTGGAAGTTTACCCTGTCTGCGTGTTGCGTGTGCGATCTCGCAAAGTATTAAAGTACACAGTATCAAAGAAACCCGGCTATCTTGGCAACTCTATCAACAAGCAATCGGCAAGAGCCTATGACCTAGCATTTACAACATTTACCGACCCACCTTTAATTGCTGCAGGTGCTAATCTGACCATCTGATAGGGCTTTTTGATTTTGCCCCTTCTTCCCCCTTGGGATCCCCCTGTCATCATCACTTCAACAAAAAAAAGATTGAAATATAATAACAGATCGACACCTGAAGAAATTTACTTACTAACCGGTCTAATTCTACAAACGACCTCATCAGTGTCACGATATTATCGTACAACTAGGTCTCCTTTTCCACCCCTTTTCACAGTTCAATTGCGAGTCTGTGCTTTTTCCTACTGTTCGCTATTCACATTGTTAACTTGGTTGGCCACCAACCTCGATATAATTATTTAAAACAAAAGGTGCCTTTACTGGTATTCTTTGTGGTGCATTGAAATATCACCACACCTCTGGGAACCCCCACATTTTCGATCTACTTCGAGAGACACCCCCAGAAAATATTCTCCAAAAACCCGACGTCGATAATTCCTCGGCAACACGACGCGTAAAGAGGAAAAGAAGAAAAAGGACGGTCATCTCCAATTTCTTGACCCCTCCCCCCACCAATCAATTTCCCGACAAACGACATCAAGGTAGCTGATTATATCTGCTATAATCTCGCTCACTTCCTCTGGTTGCGGCCAATTTGATCGACGGGTGGTCCTCTTGGTAAAGCTGTACGGGATCGATATAATTCAGCAACTATGTCGGTTGGAGTCGAGCAGCTAGTCGACTCGACGTCCGACTATGTATCCGAGGAAGAGATTCGTACTCCTTCTATTGCGCCGTCCCTCACATATTCTGAGGACTCCGAAGATCAAGATGAGCTCCAGGCACCAAAGGAGGTTCCTCAAAGGCGGCGTGCCTCGACGAGATTAATTGCACAGAGCCCAGCAGACGTGCAGAGAATCACTGGCGAGTCTACACAACAATTGCTTGATCGATGCTGTGGTGGCGGATGTTGCATGAATGCACAGAAGAAAGAGCAGGGAGTCGAGTATGAACGAGTCCCACTCCCTGACAATGATGCCTTTCGCTCTTTAGGCTTAAAGATTGATGAGATACCTACCGTCTTAACTAAGGTCGCGGACATGCCTGAGCAGATCACTTTTCTTCAGTCCATCCGACGTGTCTCGGGCACCCCATCGCCAACCGATTCGGCCGTGTCTTTCGGAAGTCAAGCCAGCTCTCCCACAATCGAGACCAAATTCCAGAACCTTAGCCTCGAGAACCTCGACACTTCGATACAGCCTCCTTCCTTCGTTCAACCGCACCATCCTTTCAATGTCTTCCCTGCCAAAATTCACAATACCCGTGAATTGACGCGTCCTGGAGCTGAGAAACGCACGTATCACTTCGATCTCGATATCACCGACTATCCCCACGGAGAAGGCGTAGACTTCAAGGTCGGAGGTGCCATTGGTGTCTCTGCTCCAAACGATACAGCTGCTGTGGATCAGGTTTTTGACTTGCTTTTGGTTCCACGTTACTTGCGGGACAAGCCCGTTTTGCTGCGCACTACTCGTGGCCGATGGCCCACTGTCTGGGGCGAGGATCAGGCCCGCGAGTTGGTTACCACCCGGCGGGATTTGCTGACGTGGTGCTCCGATATCCAGTCTTACCCACCCACCAAGCCTCTATTGCGAATTCTAGCTGAGCATGCTCTCGACCCTAACGAGAAGAAGATACTCATGTTCCTCTGCTCTAGCCAGGGACAAGGTGCCTTTTGCGACTTCCGCACTGGCCCACACATCTCTCTTGCTCAACTCTTGAGTGCTTTCCCTTCTGCTAAGCCACCTCTAGATTTGCTGTTCTCGGTACTCCAGCAGTTGATGCCGCGGTTTTATTCCCTTTCCAATGACCCGCATGAGTCTTATGGGATCCGCGATGGAAAGCAGCACCGCCTTATTGAGCTAGCCGTCACCATTCAAGAGACGCCTGACTGGCAGGCGGGCTACCGAACGGGTGTCGGTTCTGGCTTCTTTGAACGTCAATGTCGCAAGTTTTTGGAGCTGCAGCGCGCAGGGGAAAGCGCTCCCCAGTTATACATCCCGATGTTTAAGGGGCTGATGGCGAACCCGTTGGCCAAGGAATTTGTGTCTGATGGTCCGATGCTCCTTATTGGGGCTGGCGTCGGCATCGCGCCATTCCGTGGCTTTGTTCAGCATCGCCTGAAGAATGCTAACTGTGCCAACAAGGTATGGGTACTTCAAGGCGTCCGTGATTCTCTTGTGGATGAGCTATACGGTGGGGAGTGGGGTGTCCACGAGGATAGAGTGAAGAAGGTTGTACAGAGCCGACGCGGCGAGAGCCGTTACGTCCAGGACGAGGTCAGCCACCAAGCAGATCTTGTATGGTCCATCATCAACTCGGTTGACGGGCGCGTCTTCGTTTGCGGAAGCTCCAAGGGCATGGGCGAAGGTGTCGAACAGGCGCTTATCAAAGTGGCCGTGAAGAAGGGCAACTTGAAGTATGATGAGGCAAAGAAATTCTGGGAATTGAAGAGAGACGTCGGACAGTACATTACCGAGACGTGGTGATGGCAATGGCTTCATTGGCTCTATTGGTAGACTTGGGGGAGTGAGCCTATGATGGGGATAGACTTATGGTTGCTCGGCAGGTCCCATAAAATCTGGGGGTCTACAAAAGTCTTTTTCTATTGTTCATAGCATACGGTGTTATAAAATGCCTAGAGGCTGGGCGTTTGCGCAAGCTGGGCAAGACTGGGCTGGTCAGGTTCGATTTACAGAGAGGGTATTTCTTTATAGTTGGCGGCTTGGCGGTTTAGGAGTCTGCATGAGAGGATTCTAGGACCTCGATTATGTAGTCAAAAGCTGCAAGATAAAGCGGTGTTTTACACAATACGTTTTTTTGCCCGTGGAGAATTAAGCTGTACATAGAGTCGCATTGGGCATAGATGAGTAAAATACGATATCGAATAGCAACATTCACCTAGTCACCATTCAATGTGCAGCCTCATAAGAGCTTCGATGCACGGCGGGTATTAGTAAGACGCTTGATATCCGTAAATCCTTGTGATACCGGGGACATGACTCGACTCGACGCGGGATAGGTCGGAGCTAAGGAAAATTGCCTGATTCGGAAATCGATTTTGCCTCGTGCCGTGCCGTAGGGTCGCTATGTTTCTTCACGCCGCGATTAGGCGTCTAGAGAGAGGCCTCCTGACATGTTGATGCATCTCGGATAGGCTCTTCAAAGTAATTGCTCGGCTAAGTAATATACGGGAGTTTGTCTGCAACATCTTAGAACCGCGTTAATTCTGCCGCAAAAGTAGGAGGCGGTTTATAAGGCAGATATTAACCAGGTATTATGTCGTGTAAATATACGGGCCGTATTACAGAAAATACATTTGGGGTTTAGCATGTTAATGCCGAATTGCGTGTCTATAGGTTAGGAGCACTGCCGCGTGGATAGTACTTAGACCACGAGGTTTGCGGCCGCATTCACCGCCGAGACGCCGAGACGCCGAGGAACCCAGCAGAAATTAAGAATATATTGCTTTAGCGACAGGACTTATGTAGAGCAATAGAGATAAAACAAGCTGAGTAGTATCGAACTAAGCGCCGATAGCCAATGCCTTACACAAGTTGCGACGTCAAGCTAGTGCCGAACGCGCGAAGGCGGCTAATAAGGCGATAATAGTCGACATTAGATGAAGCGCGGGGTAAAAATCGCGTGAAACGTCGCTTTTTATTACATTTTACTGCAGCACGTTATAAAGAAAAGAGCCTCACGCTTTACTAAGAAAAGAACGGAGTAAAATAAATAACTAAAGAGGGGGGGAGCAGGAGTAAAGTTTTGTCGAATCAAGCAAGCAACGGGGGGATGACAAGAAAGCCGGGATGGCATGGATTCGAAAATGGGCGGGTGTTTTGACTCGAGAAGGATTTTCCAGCTTCGTTGTTAAGTTGTTAGAAATGGATTTCAAATGATTTGGAAATCAGACCAAGACCAGCGCGAGAGGATTATGAATAGATGTGTAAGCAGAGATAGTTCGGGTTCGGCGTTGTATCATCAGCGGGTTTAGCCCCACACCGCTGCCCCGCCCCGCAGCGCCTACCGAAACTTGACCTGTAGTTTGCTACGTATAACGCCCACTTACATGCGCTGCGCTACGCTACATCGATACATACCTAGGTAGGTATAATTCCTACGGGTAAGTACAAATTCGTAGTAAGGTATGTCCGGTGTGGATACTCGTTGGTAGATTTGTACACTAAGATAAACGAGAGGCACATAGTATACGACTTTATCTTTTATTCGTGTTAGTTATATTAAATAACTAAGATATAAAGAAATGTATAAGTGTATGCTTTGCAGTACTCATGAATATACCTCACTACGTTAATTAATTAAGTATAGTTAAGCACTCCCTCTAAGACTTGATAGTTTTACCAAAAAAGCAATTGGCAACTACACTATGGAAGTGGAAATAACCAACCAACCAACCAACCCTGATTGGGTCGATCTGACATGCTGTGTGTAATACCTTAGTACCAATCCCTCGCACCCTTGTAAATGCGATAAATGCGATAGGACTTCAATTGCGTCGGCGGGGCATTCGACAGATGCTGACATGCTATGGGACATGCTAAGGAGGTAGGGATACATATTGGGGGCACCATAGCGTTGCTTCTGGACACTTCCTTCCTTTCTTTGTTAGCACATCATACATCGATTGGCATTAGCACATCGGAGAACATTAGCACGTCTCGGACTTTCTTTTTTAGATCAATAGCAAGCATATCTACTAGCCATAGGGAAAGAGCCATTACCAGGGAAGTCTCCATAGGGAAGTCTCTCCTCCCCCCGTTATAGCAAATAAATAAATAGACCACGATGCGCCCACATATTGTCACCTCAGCTGTTTTATCCTTCTCCAGACTCACCACGACCTCGGCCACCACCACCACCACCACCACCACCACCATCACACCTAAAGCATCAAGTCTAGCCCTTAAGACTCTCGCAGCAACAGCAACCTGTTCCCAGAGATCATTCTTCACCTCCAGCGCTTCCCAGTGCCAACCTCTCAAGTCCCAAGCCAAGACCACCCACACGCCCTCGGCACGCTTCAGTACTACTCCTAAAATGGCTGCTCCCGTCAAGGCCGAGTCCTTCCTGGACCTCATCAAGAACCGCCGCACATACTACGCTCTTAACAAGGAGCTACCCATCTCCAAGGAGCGCATCCAGGAGATCGTCAAGCAGAGCATCTTCGAGGTCCCCTCATCTTTCAACTCCCAGTCCAACCGTGTTGTCGTCCTCTTCGGTGCCGACCACGAAAAGCTATGGGATATTACTACCGAGATCCTCAAGACCATCGTCCCCGCTGACGCCTGGGAACACACCGCTCAACGTATGAATGGATTCAAGGCTGGTGCCGGAACCGTAAGTCTCTCCCTTCTTGGCTACCCCCCAGTCTATTAGCATGATAGGGGATACTAACAAGACAAACAGGTCCTGTTCTTCGAGGACCAGGAGGTCGTCCACAGCATGCAGACCAAGTTCGCTCTATACAGCGACAAGTTCCCCATCTGGGCGCTACAGTCCGATGCCATGATCCAATTCGCCATCTGGACTGCTTTCACCGCCGAGGGTCTCGGTGCTAACCTCCAGCACTACAACCCTCTAATCGACGCCAAGGTTGCCAGCGAATGGGGCATCCCTGACAAGTGGCAGCTCAACGCCCAGCTCGTCTTCGGCGGCCGCGCCGGCGAGCCCGGCCCCAAGGACCAGCTCCCCATCGAGGACCGCCTCAAGGTCTTTGGTGCTTAAACGCAATACCAGCAACGCCCTAGCTACCTTATATATATATCCCTGAACCTACAACGGTGTTATGTATGACGAGTTCGTAGGGAAATACCCTTGGAAAGAAAAGAAAAAAGAACTCATAGACACTGGCTATTGTGGATAGACAGAGAGAGCGGCGGTTCGTTCAAACGTCCGCCGCTCAAGAGTTCCTTAGACTACCTTGGAAGCGTTCAGCACCAACTAGAATAAATAAATAAGTGAAACCAACCGAAAGAAAGACTTCGTCATCCATATGTTTCGTCATGTGATTTGGAGGTAATTCAAGCACCCAATGTCTACGTAGAATAGCATGCTCGTCTCCTTCGAGTTGGATAATACGTAGCCCTTCTCTTTGATATGTAAGACATGCTTGTCAAAATAGATATAATAAGCGCCATTATAACTAGGTACCTACCTAACCTGGGATACTCAAGTAAAGATCTTATTAGAAATTGACGTCGAAACTAAATTAGTTGCATGAAATAGCCGGCCCCTTTAAATGGCCGGGTGTCAGCCTCAACTCTCAAGGACGGGAGGACCCGGAGCGGGAAGACGCGAGGGATAATAGAGTTAAGTTGGTGAGTATTATGTAACACCTACATAAAATAAAATAAAATGCAATGTATATCTCCTATTTAGAGTAACGTCAGGTAAGTCTTGTGTTGCCTTCCACAGAGTAAGAGGGTGAGGTACTAATTGTCACCTTGGGTTAGGTACCTAAGGTTATACCTATATCTTAAGGTTTCGAGAATAACTGGGCTTGATGTGGTGATGTGACTTGAGGAATATAAGTAAACTGTTCGAGGAATGTGCTACCAGTAACAACAAAATGGTACTTCTTTCCAATCATACTTCCCATCCACGAGAGTTCAGGTCTCGTTAAATAGGGGGGAAGGGGGGGTGGCTGTTTCCCTTCAACTCCCATTTTCTCAAAGAAGCGGACCCCTTGAAAAACTCCAACTTGCTGCTGCTGACCATCAAATTCGAGTAGTTAGTGAATAAAGTAAAGTGTTCCTGCCTTGGGAAGGCAAGTTTCAACCTTGCAAACAAACTGTTTAACTATGTGAATATGGGTAATAGGTACCTCCTATGCGGGTATGGAGGCCGGCCTAAGCAACAACCTCCAGCCAATGATAGACCACACAGCTCCGTACTCAACCCCGAGCTCCTTCCTCCAGAGGTGCAAACAGCTCCGGGTTGTAGTCAAAAAAATCGGACCCGGACGCGGAGCTAGCAAGTTTCTGCTGATTCACAACTGCAAACTGTCAGTCGTATTCAGCTGTTAATGTTGGTGATGCGAGGGGTAACTCCCCTCAGGAATAATATATAAACAAGGCCAGTTCCCTGACTTCTGTCCCTTTCTTTCTCCTCTCTCTCACTCACCATCAGACAAGAAGAGGTTTCGTTTCAGTGTCTGTCTGTCTTCTTCCTTGAGACTAGACTGAAGTAAAATCAGATAGGTGACTAGTCATCCTTCCTAAAGCCCATCTCAAAGACTTAACACACCCCTTTCACTACCCCTTTCTTTCAAGAACCTCTCATCCAGCTTCAATTGCTCCAACCATCAAGATGTTGAAGTATGAAGCATCTGAGGAGGATGGTGATCGTACCATTTCCATTGATGAAAGAAGCGAAACCTCCTACTCCGACACCCCTGACAACGAGCAGCCTCCTTCCACCCCCCTAGCCCCAGGTGTCCCAACCCTCCGAAGCGAGCGCGCCCAAGCCCAAGAATGCAAGGCTCTAGTCGACGAGTTCGTCGCAGTACTCCGCTCTCGGCTCCCGACCCTCCCGCCGCCCATCCATCACCACATGCCGCACGCCGTGTACAACCTGCGCTGCAAACGCCCCGAATTCATGATTATGCTGTTTATGCAGGCCCGATTCCGGGACGCCGCGAGCCCGGACCCGCTCGACGACGAGCTCTGGGACTCCGTAAAGGTGGTAGCGGCCGAGGGCGTCTCGGACGAGATGCAGGATCTGCCTTGCCGCCGGTTCGCGGTTCGGTTCGTGCGCTTGCGCTGGGCGCGTCAGGATATACGTGATGCCGTGAGTGACGAGGAGTATTGGACTTCGTAAAGAATATATGATAGGAGGGGAGAGGGCGTGAGAGGTTAGGTGAGATGAGATGAGATGAGAGAGAGAGAGAGTTGAAGAAAAAAGGTTAGTAGTACCTCACTTACACACACACACAGCACCACGCGATACTAACCACAGCTCCCACTCATCCGCATAGAACATATAAAAGGAAAAAAAAATTTTGAAATTGAAAATCGAAAAAAAAAAAAGAATCACTAGTACAAGAGCCACTCACATCACCCTCAACCCACCACGTAAACCAACGATCTCAACCCCCAGCACTACGCCATCCCACAGCACACTTTCACCTAGTGTAGCCAGTTAGCCAGCCAAGCAGTCCACATGCACCCATAGCAAGAGACGGGAACCACATGTCTCTGCCAGATAGGTAGATACCTAAGGCACCTAGAAACAGATAATGGAAATCTCCCCTCCCACATAAGCCCCTATTACCTATACAATTCCTTCGTGCCTGCCTGCCTGTCTGCCTGTCTGCTTACCTGTTTGTTTGTTCGCCTATCATACGCCACTGTGCTTTAAGTAAAGTCACTTAAAACTCGTTAGAAATTGCTTGACCTTGACGTACTTTAAGCCTTCAATTTTGGTACGCTGATATTATGACATGATGTGATATATCCCATGAAATAAGCCCCTCTCTGGGACTATTTTATGCGTTAGTATATCATTCCCACATGATGGCGCCGTATTTTCTTTGTTGTTACTGTATTAACGTTAACCCCGGACCTTGATGTTTAGGTCATCAGGAGAGGGAGCGAATGTATGAACTTAGGCTAGAGAACACTCCACTAAGACGTAGGAGAGTCGAAATCCGCAACCGTTGATTTTGATGTCCGCTCGTTATATACGCTACCCATCCGCCTCGCCTCGTATAATACACAAACTATCCGAACACTATAGCCTGCCTCCCGACCATCTCTATCGTCGCACCAAAACGCCCTGTGCATCCCTTTTCTTTTTCGTGCGCCGACGTAGGGCCATCGCCGTCGCTACGTCGTAGAATACCATCCCGATCCAAAGTAGTCCAAAATCGTGAATTAGTAGTCATCCAAGCTCTCCGTTGTGCGAAGAGCAGGTAGAGTGAGATAGCGTCACGTCGTGAAGTTAAGCTTGAAATTTCGAAATCCTCCCATGATTTATGTGCTCAGCTCTGATCCTTAGGTGGGATAACACCGCCTCCGTCGACGATGATTTGTTCGTCGACACGAGTCACGGTATCGCCGTATTCAAGTCTCTTGTAAGTTGTGATTCGGGCTTCGTTCATGTCAATGTCGAAGAAACGAACCCGGCGGACGAAGCCGCCATAACCGCCGTATCCTCCAAATCCGGCACCGCCACCATAACACATCCACAGCTCGGGCTTCTTCGTCTCCTTATTGGATGATAGCATGCAATACTCATTTGCATGGTCGCTAAAGAATTAAACGTTAGCCAGTCAATGATAAAAAAGGGGGTATAGGGAATACATACTGTCCACAACTAACCATGACGACACCTTGCTCAACCAAAGCATCGCGGAATCCGGAGTTGAACTTGGGGGCCGTGACACCTTCTCTTAATTCGCCTACGTACTGCGACTCCTGATCCCTGTATTCCGGAAGAGGAATGTGGATAAAGGCGATATCCATGTGGATATGAGTATACTCTTTATGCTTCTTTTTCAGACTCTCTGAAGTCTGTCTGAACCAATCGATTTGGTTCTTTTTGATCCAGTCGTAGCCGCTCCATTGCCGCTCGTCCGGAGAATATGAGTGGGAATCAAGCAAGTATACAGTGAGAGCGGAATGCTTCGAGCTCCCTTGAGCAAGGACCTCAATAAAGTAGTTACCAACCCCGTCAATATCGTCTGGTCCGGCGACAGACAACGAATACGGTAATTGTTCAATCAGCGCCATCTGCCCGGCTCTAGGTAGCGATCCTTCATCGTCATGGTTACCGAATATGGATACGTAGGGGATCTTGCGCTTGATGAGTAACTGCGCGTATTTAAAGATGGCCGATTGCGCATCGGGAGCGGTATCGCCATTCACCTGGTCACCGCTAAGGACAACTAGATCAGGCTTTTCTTCGTCCAACAGCTTAGATACGAAATCTAGAGTCCGCAGATCTGCTAGACAGGGGCCACCTTCATACTCGTCGGGAACCGCATCTCTGCAATGACCAACGCCCGTGCTCAAATGAAGATCTGCCAGCTGCATTATCTTGAACTTCCCATTGTCCCTCACTCGTGGTTGGGGTTTTATAGGCTCGACCTGACTTCCCTGCCGGACGGTGATATGGGCACTCGGTATATCTGGCCCGACGTCGAGTAACAAGGGCGTATTCTGGAACTGCCACCCGTCTCGAACCTCGACAGCGTCGTCACCGAAGAGGACATCTATCGCCGTAACCGCTTTCTTAGAGTCACTTGCCGTTGGCTTGGATGATCGTAGTACCCATAGGCCCGCTGGACGAGACTCCCACTTTTCACCCGCCTGCCCCTTGGCTCCCGTCGAAGGGTCTAGTCGGCCCACTGTGACACCCACGACTACCTTGTCATCCGCCTTCAGCTCCTCCTCCTTCTTCCTCTGGACATGGATGTAGGCCTTGGAGACCCACGATTTGTCTAAATAGAGGTTCTTCTCGACCCGGTGCCATGATTCGGGGTCGAGCTTGCAGGAGGAAAACAGGTTGACTTTGGAACATTGTGTAATTGTTATATCGGTGACGACTTGGCCATGATGGTGCTGAGGCATGTACTCATGGACGGAATTAGGGAGAAGTCGGAAATTTCGATCTAAGAGAAAAATGATGAAGAATGCGAATACGGCGGCAGCGGCAAGCTGGGATATGGTGCGCACCTAGTCAAAAAAAAGGTATTGTTAGTCTTCTAGACGGGTACCTAGCTAGACTAGCTAGACAGAGATGCGGTGAGCAGCTCATTTACATATGTAGAGGCAACTTACTATCCGTCGCGTCATGATGTTTGATATGGATAAGGTCGGTTAGACTCAGGTAGATACGGTGTGTTAGCACAGTAGCGATGTCGTAGCGATGGACGCCAGGGGCCAATCATCTTCAGCCGTGCGCATCTATGTAGATAATATATTCGGACCTTCAACTTTACCAAGTCGTCGGTAGGGAATATCGAAGAATATCCTGGGTAGTATGATGTTTAATGCTCTGTCATTTCACGTACTATGTAATAATATGTGGTGTTGAAGAGAAGAAGTTGTTTAAAGCAACTTGGAAGTTGTGGTGTGGTGTATGTAACTACCTCCTAATGTAGTGTAAAGCTAAAAAGCTACGACAACTTTACGACACGACAACTTGGAAGGAGAAATTCAGACCCCGGTCCAGGTCCAGGTATTCCCGATAATCTGGGGAATCGCGACCAATTCACGCCAAGATATGTCTATCCCTTTTCCGGATGTAGCCTTTAGTACCTCAATCTAATGTATACTCTTGCATTAGCTACATACTATATATACTTGATATCAAAGTACAATACCGAATGGGCACATGTACCTCCCCCTATGCACATGTTTTCAGCGAACGTTGGAGCTAAGGCCATTCATATGACAGCTCACCACCGAATCGCCGAATCAAGAGAGGTATTCACTACTTCTATGTGAATATTTAACATTTAATATATCGGATGGAATAATCTAGGCCTTGAAGTTTACCAATAAAAACCTGCCTACTATGTTGTACAAGTCTGCATGCACCTTGACGCGATAGGCAGGTAAAAATGACAGAATGAATAGACAAACGCAGAGTAAGCAGCCAGGAGCAGCTCATAAGGCAAGGCTCATAATACACCAGACGAATAAAGAGGGTTGAGTACCTACTAAAGCATCGGGTGTAAATACCTCTTCACAATAACCAATCGGAATCATCCCTTAGAAGTATTGTACTTATAAGGTGTATATACCTACCTAGGTATATATATCAGGTACCTATCTACAATTTATACAAGTTGAATCTATAAAACCTACGACCATCGTGTATCCCAAGGCTCGACTACGCATTACCAAATTAAACTAAAACCATTAATTATTTAAACTAAAGTTAATACGATAGGCCTTTTAACTATTTAAACAAACCTCACCAAGATCAAGATCAAGTACGTAGAAGATTGATCAGAGGAATCACGAGAAACAAAAACAGTACCAACCATATCTCCCCTTATTCTATTTACTGGATGCTATCTATTCAGACGGTAACATCTCGTTGAGAGCAAGGGCGACGAATCTCGCACACCTTCTCATCTACTACGATCCAATTGTGACTAACACTAACTAAGCATTGCCCTCGTAATGCATAACAAACCCCCCTATTCCGCCATCCACCAAATATTTATAATCTAATAGCCCTCGCGCTTCGTATTACCATCAAGCATTAATAGCTCATCGGTAATATCCCACAGTTGCGCTGTCCTGTTGGCATGGGCATTCATCCGTGGGCCTTGATTTCGTGCTCTACTGCTCCAAAGCTCGCCCTTCTTAATACAGGATTTGTCGTTGATACTCGGACTGGCTTGCTTCTTCGTATATTGACGTATTCGTTCTTCAATCCCCTCCCGGTCTTCAGATACTTCCAAGTAGCATGGATTGCACCATTCTTTCTGTTCGTCTCCACGTTGACTAGGCCCGTCAACTTGTCCCTTGCCGGATATATCACCCTCAATGTCTTCGAGAGTAACAGACTCACGAAGCCCTCGAACACGCGCTGTAAATTGCTTAAAGACAGCGACTCGCTTCTCTGCCGCTTCTGCTCTTTCTCTCCACATTTTGGCCTCGCGTCTTGCCGCCCTAAGCTGCTCGCACAGCTTGCCGATATCCATGTTCTCTCGGGCTTCCAACTGTCGCCGTAGCTGAGTGTTTTCTTCCGCTCGGTGCTCGAGATGCTTCTGTAGGTGGCGGATCTGGGCATGAAGCATCGAGTTACCACTTCCAGGTCGAGGACTTTCAGTTGATGCTCTACCATAGTTTTCATCACACGATGGGGGAGAGGATGGATACGGTCGAGTAAAATTGATGTGTTGAGCAATCGGAGGCTCCTCAAGGGGAGGAACCATAGTTCCTAGGCTCGGCGGCTGGTCAAGCTCTCGATCGCGCGCAGGAACTGGCCGAGGCGTCGAACTCAAAGGCACTTTTTTCGAAGCGGCCAACGTATTATCAACAGGACGTAGCGAAATTCTAGGAAATTTAGTTGGCGTATTCACAATATTTACACCCGAAAACCCTGAGCCACAAGTGCCGTCATCTATTGATAACCCTGACTCTCTGCTTCGCGTTGGTGTCTCCGGTGGTTGAAATCTTCCTTTAGAGCCATCAAAGGTAATAGACGGCGTGTTAGTTGTTGGTGTATTGTTGGACCTAGCCGCCTTGGACGGCGAGTTGCTTATAGAATACGGAGATAGTATGCTGCTGGAGTCACACCCTATTCTTTTAGGACGTATAGTTGCCGTGCTAATAGGGGAATTATTGATAGTATTGTCAAATAGCGCAGCAATGGCCTTCACTGCTCCTTGTGTCGGTTTAGAGCTTGAACGATATAAAATAGGCCTGCTTCCCCCCTCGAAAACACTTCCACCTGGCGATAATCCTGGTTTGCGTAAAGCTGATTCTTTTAAAGGCCCAGATTGAGGAGATTTCTCGAACACGCTTTTTTTCTCAGGTGAAAGCTTAGCTGGTTTCCGTCTTCCTTCACTTCGCGTGTCCATTAGTTGTTGTTTCCATTTCGGGGTGGATGGTATCTCGTTTCGCTGGATCGACAATTCCTCGCTCCGTCGAAAGCTACTATTGCCTGGACTGCGCCTTAAACGTCTTTCTTTTGCGGCCTTTGCTAGAGATTCCGTGCTGGTTTTACTGGCTAGACTTAAGGCTTTCCATTTTTCAGAATAGTCAACATTCCGCGCCGGGGTATAAAGATAATCTCCAGCGTGACTACTATGGTACTCTTCGGTTGTACGGGATGACCTGGCTGGGGTTATTGTTTTCTTTGACGGCGATTTCTTAAGCATGCCAAACTCTTTGGCTCTTGGTGTGGCATAACCTTGTCGTGACGAATATCCCTCATTGTTGCTAATTTCGACGATGGATGACTTGACGCTATGAAAGGTTAACTCACTTCCGGACAGTATATGACTTGACGAGCTTCTGTTGTGGGGAACCGAAGGATCCTCGTGCACATCAAGTGTACGAAATGGCCGCTCCCTGGTCCGGCCTCCAGTCTCGCTCTCACCGCCACCCGACGCTCTGTCCAAACTTTGATTTTCCAATGCGCTCTCAATACTATCACTAGGCGAAGTTCGCGCAGCGGACGATATTGCTGGATGAGACGTTTGACCTACACTTGCTTCATCACTTCCTGCATATTGGCTAGCTGGTGGACTTTCTTCAGCTGTGGGCGAGAGACAATTTTCTGAAATCCTGCTTGAGGTTTTACGTGAAGGACAAGAACTAGACGGCCGTGATCGCCGTCGCTTGATGGATATAGGCTCAGGCTCAGCCCCTGTATTATCTCGGAGCTTGAACGAGCTGGTCTCTGTTTCTGATAATTAGCACACGACGCCGTGAATCATTGGCATGTCTACTTACTAGGGAATGGAGTTGGACTTCTAGTTAAAGGAGAAACGCTTCTACCTTTCTGATTATGCAATGGTGCAGGGCTACTCCATTTAGGTGGCCTTCTTAATGGAAATGAATCTGAGGCTGAAGAACCTAACTTAGCCTTATTCGTCTTACGTTGGGCGATGTGTTCATGTCTGCTGATCTTCAGGGTGCCCAGGCTCCGCATTTGCCGAACCACCTCCCTCCAGTGTATTATTAGCATCTCCGTGATGTTATTGGCGACATGTATCTTGTCCACCGTGTAGAGAGAAGCCGAATCTTCAGCACGAGATTTAGATTTCCTGTGTTTATACCTCTCCTTTCGGGACTTCGGAGCAGACACTGGGAGCAGTACTAGTCCAGCTGCGGGGTCTGCTAATTTCATGCTGTAAGAGTCGATCAGATCATTGATCAAGAGAGGACCAAATACTATGCTTAAAGCATTGTATCCCATCAAGTCGCTTGTCGGGAGTGGCCTCCCGTCTTCATCTTCTCGAGGTGCATTTTCAGCAGCTCGGCCGACGAAACATAATAAGCCAAATACGGCACATATCAGCTCCCTCTGATACTGTGATCTCACGGTCCCAATGGCGAGTGCAATCAACCGTGCGCGAAGTTTACTTTCCCTGGTCTTAGTGAGCTCGGGATCAGCATGTAATTGGCTGTAAATTGCAACGAAGGCGTCAAAAAGGGATAACGAGCCTAGAATGCCCCCGGGCAGCCCAGCTATAAATTTTTTGAAGGCGGAAGCAATATCATGAGCGCTACATTTGATGTGCGTAGGAAGATTCGGGCATCGAGTTGTAATTGAGATGGCATTTGCGCCCCTTGCGTCTCTATCAGGGCAGTAGTAGTCATAGAGTATGCTCACAACTCGAGCAGAGCCCGGTACCCGAAAAATCCCTCTTGTGTCAGCTATGATGAGCATACATTAGCTAAAAGACTTAGAATAGCAATTATTGCAAATCCCCTACCGTGTTGTACAAGAGCTTGCGCGAGCGCACGGAAGCACGTAGGCAACACCAAAGAGCACGGAGCATATTCAGTGGGTAAGTAGAATATACTCTTCCCACATAATCGTACCAAATCCTGGAGATTTTCGCCTTTTAATTCGTCCCTTTTCACGTGGTGTACAAGATTCAGAGCAACATCGCTGACGCTTCGTCGATGCCTTAGCTGTCGTGGTTCTGACCGGATGATTACGGTCTGTGTTGACTGGCCAGAAGACGTTCTCCGTAAGGCTTTGGAAAGCCAGCTCGGTCTCCGGGTTGGAACGGACTTGTTGATGTCATTATAATCGGTCTTATTATAAGATATCAACCTCACTTACAGCGTCTACGGGGAAATCTCTAGTCACAAGTAGCCGAATACCGTACTAGAATCTCTCAGTCAATATCCGTCGAAAGATGAGCACTGAACGGAATGCACCACCCTCTTTGCGAGTCGATTATATTCGTCGACAAATTCTTCCCTGCCATCTGCCTCCTCACTTTCAGAGAGAAGCCCGAGTTCGCCACTAGAAGACGTCCAAGTATTAGTTTTGCAGCCGTAACGAGTATTTAAGGCGCCGAGTGACCGCGATGTAGTCAGCACTGGGTATGGTTTAATAATCGTCGACTGCGAAAACGGGCGTCTTCGTTGGTAAGGGAAAGGGTGAGAAGACGTAGAACAGCTAGCGGGTACAGGCTCTTTTCCTTTAATAGGAATTGGAGCCGTAGCGGCATCATGATGGTAAGACTGCATCTGGTCTATTGGATAAGGGGTAAATTCTAGATACCTATAGAAGACAAGGAAGATGTTGGATAACTAGGTGAATGATGATGCATGCAGTTTAACAACGAGGAAGAAATCTATAAACCTGACTGACGTACCTACATACATAGAACTAAGAGCCTCCACATAAGGTAGGAAGTCTATCCTTCCCTGTTTTGTCTACCTACCTATTAGAAGACCTTAGAAGACCTTGGAGGAAGCGACAAGTTGTGGCAAGTGATAATGCCTTCTGCAGTAAGATAGCAAACCCTAGCGATGGAAGTGTCAGTATGCTATACCTACATGTACCTAGGTAGGCTATATACATGTACGTACGTGTAAGTGCCTAAATAGGGTACTCACGTAACACACCATCATATAGAAATTCCGTGTAGTGAGGCGATCGTAGAATAACAAGTAACAAACATATACATCCTCTATATGTAGGGTTAGCTAAGGATTCTAGCCAGGTAAATGCTTATATCATAAACCTAGCCTTTTAATGCTAAAAATCTAGTGTACTCTTAAGACGTGTCATACTCATAGTAGGTAGTAGATCCGGACATTTTCGTCTTCTACCAAGCCGTGCCCCCAAATCTGATCCTTATAATCCCCCCTAATCCAAAGTAGTCGTAATCGATTAGATAGATCAGCGTGAGGATATGGAGACAATGAAAACCTATGCGGGCTCAAAAGGACTGATCCTTATAAACCACTTTAGTCTTTCGAACGCCAGACTCCCCTATAATGCCTACCAATAACACACTATGACTCCATGATCCTCGTATCCCTATGGTTTCCAGATTCCAAGGTACCGTACCGTCATTACAAAAAGCGTCGAGTTACCATCGACTTGTTACGGCGGTGGGAAATTTTCGCCCTCGTCGCTAGTAACGCCAGTAAATAAGACGTACCTAAGGATGTCGGATAGCGAGATAATTCCCTTCAAATGCCAATTGTCATCAATGACTACTAGCCTATGGACTCGAGACTGGCGTAGCGTAACGAATATCGAATCAAGCCTGTCATCCTCTTGGCAAGTGTAGATACCTTGGAAATCTTCCGGTCTCTTCGTCAACGCTTCTCCTACTGTTGATTTTAATTCGTCATATGCGCCTCCTTTGATACAAGGTATAACATCGACGGCCTCGAACACGTTGAGTACGACATTGTTTTTATCAATAATAGGCACAGCAGAGATGTTATGCACCACCATCAAATTGATCACCTCCAGGACCGAATCCGTCATCTTAGCCGTCGCGAGGTTGCTGTATGTCCCTAGCCCGATCTCCCGTACCGTCTGCTTGAGAAGCATAGTATGCTGTTCCGTGTTGACGGCGATGAACTTCAGTATTCGGTACTGCGTAATCACGCTGACGACTGTCTCCCTCTCGGTTTCGTGGTCGATATCGACGAGAGGAATACGACGAGCGCGGCTCTTAAGCATACGACTGCAGGCTTCGTAGAGTGGCCTCGACGGATGGACGGACACGGTCTCCAGCGGAAACACGCCGATTGCCTTTTCGATGTCTTTGAGTAGCTGGAGTGTCAGCCACAACCAATTCAATGCACATGTCCCCGCACATTCGCAATTCGGGTGCAACGTACCGCGGAGGCTACTCAGCCTAAACTTCTCTACGTCCTCGATGTGTTCGGGGAATTGGCAGTAATATTGTATCAGGTTTATATAATCGGTTGCGGTAAGTAGACCGGCGAACCTGGACTGCTGCGAATCCCAAAGAGGCGCGGACACGATTCCTAATAGCTCACGTTAGGGGCTGTTCGGGCCATCGCGGGACATACATGCGTGTATTTGAAGTACCATTCTGGATCAAAATATCCAAGCTCTTTTTGATTAGTAGATCATTGTCGAGTACGATGAGGCGGAAAGATAACGGGAGCACGTCGTAGCTAGTTCTAACCCGAAGAAAGTTGCGCAAGCCTTTCTATAAGAACGGAAAGTTAGTAGTAAGTCCCAACAAGTTCCAAGGTCCGAGAACCGGATTCGGTAGAGACAAGGCGGGCGATACGACACCCGGGGGATTTATACTATAGAGTACAAAAGTGTATATGATGATGACTTACTAGGCCTTGCAACTGTTCTTCGTCAATGGGACTCATTGGTATCGTGGGAACCGGTGTTGTACGACTCCGAAATTTGGGTCTGAGATACGATGATGGCCGCACAAATGGAAGCTCGTGACCTTCAGGTAGCGGCGGTATGTAGGGCGGTATGTAGGAGGGCAAGTCCGAGGACATGGCGGGGGCTGGAGCGTTTGGCGCACACTGTGGCTCGTCGGCTTGTGCATTATTACCTGACTTACGGCTCGAAGGGTCATCCATTATCTCTTTTTTTTTCCCCTTATCCTTCTTCTTGGGGTCGTTGGGGTTTAAGCCAGGTCGGGCGGAGGCTATTGGTGGGACACCCGTCCTTCCGGGAGGTGTGCAACTGAAAGTTTGCAGCAGGTGTGAGCTTGGGAAAGATTTCGGTGTAGGAGGCGCTTCTTTGCTGGGGAGAGAAGAGGGGAGGGGGTGGGGAGAGTAAAAAAAAAGGGTTTCTGTTATCGGGTAGAGCTGCTCGGCGATTGGAGAACTACTAGCTCTAGACTAAAAGCAGCTTGGGAGTTGCTAACTGAGACAAGAGATGAAGACATGGGACATGGATATGAATATGAATATGGACAATTGAATAGGTGATGATGGTGAGGTGAGGTTTAACGGCGATAAGAACAAAGGTTGTTGATAATGGATAATAATAGTAGTTAGGTTAGACTGGGCAATACATACACTAATAACCTTGGTAATTTTTCTATTGAATGGTCCAGACCGGGCCGTAATTGAACGGGCAATTGGTACTGGCTATCACTGATTGATAATCTATCTTACTTACTAAATAAGGTACCACCTTTAAAAATGATTTGTGTGGATTGAGGTTCAAATTGATGGGGGTTCAAATAGGTAAATGGTTGTAAATGGTTGTAAATGGTAGGTACATTGATACTCGGAGATCTGATGGGGCTGGCTGGTGCAGTTGATGTAAGAGGGGCAACTGCTGAACTGCAGTGCTAGTGCTGCCGATAAGCGCGGCTACATATGGGTTACACCAGCTGTGTCTATGTGTACGGATTATGTATTTTGTATAATACAAGGCCTATGCGGGATGCTCAACTTTTTATTTTAGTCTGAATCAATTCGGAACCCGGTACCATTATCTCGTGTTGAACATTCCCTTTATATAATCTTGACCTACCCACCATACATATCTTAGGATGTATGTAATCAATAATTACCTAGATCTGTTGTTAGTTATATTAAACCGCTTACATGTATGTGGGACAGGATTGGGGAATCATATTAGGTGTGAAAGTTATTATAGTTAGTTATCTGTAAATGATCGAAGTAAGATTTCAAAACCTGGGCCGGCTTAATGATATAAACTTGCATAGAGATTGGATAAGTATGGAATTTGGCTACTTCTCTTTCAACTTCAATGGAGTAATAATAAGACGAAATCGCCCACTTACGAACTAGCAGTGTAACAGACTGCATGCACATGCTAGTATAAAGCCGAGACCCTCCCCTCCTATATGTATTATATGTCATGCCAACCTTTGGACTGCCGGAAGAAAACATATTCGGCATCTTTAAATCAGAGCGCAGGAAGAAGATAAACAATCAAGTGACCTATCATATCGTATTAAAGATGTGATGTAACACCGAGGAGACACAAGGGGTATCATCTAAGAAGATGTCTCTGATTGATCGAGGACTAGGGAATATTACTCAATCACCAAGCTAGATAGAAGAACGCAAAGATAGGTAGCTGCTTGTCTATTGTCTAATCGCAGCCATCAACCTAGAGCATAATGCCATAAAGGCAACTTATTGAAGGATAGCGAATGTCTTACTTATTCTTGTTTAGCCTACCCCATTTACTCAATATTGGTGTAGAATAAAAACTTATGTAGTAAAACATTGGAGGCGAAGGTTGTCGTCATCTAGTAGTACGACTGCTGACGAGGAGGACATATTATTGAGGCAGGGAAAACAGTTAGAAGTGGTGTTGGGTTAATCAGATAAAATTATGGGAGCTTGTGAAGCTTGTATGAATGAATACTTAAATCGTTATCATTCTGGCCTTGGCTTCTCGAGAGGGTAGGATCTCGTGGCTCATTTTAAGCAATGCCGGTAGCCATAAGTAGAAGTATCCCACTATCCTGCAGAGTCAAGGGGTGATTGGCTACTTAGGATTGGGAATAACTTCAATTCGACGAGATATTGCAATTTCATGACAAAGATTTGCCTGATCTTGGTTACCATCAGACGGAAAGCTGCATAATGGATGGATGGAACGTCATATCTTTGAGACAGAGGGTGGATACTCTCTTTCACACGCTAAATAACAAGCTATGGCCGCAACAACTTAGGTATGTTGTTTTGAACTGCTAAGGCTTATTATTAGCTTAGAGCGGGTTGGCTTTATGGCTGCTGTAATGCAGAAAAGCTGTCCAGAAAAGGTAATAGGGTTTCGTGGGTAGCGGTTTTACATACGTCAACTTGCACTTTGTTTCATCCAACAACAGCTTTGGCCTTTAAGAAAAGACGGCCTACCATCTATACCGCTAAAGTATAATTATGTACTATGTACCGCACGTACCTGGTCGCATACAAGCCTTTTTACGTGTATTGTTGATTTGACTGTAGATTATCATCAGTAATAACAATCAGTAACAATTTAGTACGACTTATTTCTAAAGGATCATTAAGTTGGTTATCCCATTCAATTAATATAATAAAACTAACTACATGAGGTTCAATTCTGCAAATGCTTTGGCATGCTTTATCGAGCTTCTATTTATGTTATTAACATTTGTGTACATGTTGCATATAAAGATGAGATAAGTTAAAGCGCATGAAGGTGTGCAATTTGAGGTACAATGCAAGTACAACCAGTTGCTATCGAAAGTATCTAGATAAGCCTCGAAGCAGGTCGAGTACTTTTCAGGTACTTGGAGAGGTACCCACCAGGGAAAGCTCAGGCGACATAGCTTTCCAGCCGAAACCTTCCGGTCCCAGCTCCATGACAGCCATGACAGCAATGCGCACCCCTATGAGATGAGATTAAGAAAGAAGCAGAAAAGGCTTAACCCCCCCCCATCCCCCATCAAAACCCACCAACTGCGCCTGCGCCATTCCTTCTCTGTACGCAACCACACAGCGCGACCCGGCCCACCTGCAGCAGAGGCGGCAATAGCGCAGCAATCGCTATCGACGTATGTAAAGGTAAAAAAAGTTAGGAAGTCAGCAACTGGAGCGACTGGGGGGAAGGAACAAGGGTCGTCCAATGTCGGGACTTGCCAAAACCTCTGCTACCTACGCAACCTTTTTGAGCCTTCTGGTGCAACTGCAACTTCGTAAACATTACCCCAGTAATAAACTTCTTTAACTTCACCTCTCCCTCTACCACAACACACATTCCGGTCAAGATCGACCTTCTCCTCATCGTCCCGTTCCGTCGATGCATGCAATCTGGCACTACTTTCGCCGCGTCGACCTGGACGAGATTATCCGCCTGCCCTAGTCTCTCACGAGGATACATCACAGGACCATCACCGTCTCCAGAGAGCAGGCTTATTATTTGGACCTGACACCAGTACTGACCGTACTTTACCGACCAGGTTTTAATAATTTGAGCAACCTGAAAATCGAGAGCACCCGCTTATTAGCATCATCTCTTTTTTTTCCTCGTGTCGTCGACTGAGTCCAAATCAATCACATCACGGTTTCTAGCTCTACCCATAGCGATGGGGGCCTGCCAATCATGCTGCGGAGGTAACACAAGTCCATTCTCCTATCAAGAAGACCCCTTCTAAGTGCTAAACGCCATACAGGCAAATCTCGCGATGGTCTCTACGAACCAGTATTGGCCGATAGCGAACGAGAAGCTGTCGCCGATTTACTCCAATACCTCGAGAACGTATGTTACGACCGACCAACCCTTACGCTGCTCAAAGCTAACTTCTTATCTTAGCGCGGCGAGACGGATTTCTTTTCGGGCGAGCCTCTTCGAGCTCTGAGCACCCTCGTATTTTCCGACAATATCGATCTTCAAAGGAGTGCAAGCTTAACGTTTGCCGAGATCACGGAGCGAGGTACGTAACCTAATATTCTTAGCGCTCTAACGAAAGAGGCGTTGTATCACAGAGCTGTCGAGTGACATGACTCTACCGCTCTGTTTTTCACCGAGTTACGAGCTGTGGCTGACCGCCTCCCAGATGTTCGCGAGGTCGACCGCGATACGCTAGAACCCATCCTTTTCCTACTTCAGAGTCCCGATATTGAAGTACAACGAGCAGCCAGTGCTGCGTTGGGGAACCTTGCCGTTAATAGTAAGTAAGAATCCGCGCTGTGATTTAGTCTTTTGTCTTACCAAGCTACGTAGCCGAGAACAAAGTCTTGATTGTTCAACTAGGCGGCTTAACTCCGCTTATACGTCAGATGCTTTCTCCCAATGTTGAAGTACAGTGCAATGCTGTAGGATGCATTACTAATCTGGCTACCCATGAAGAAAACAAGGCAAAGATTGCACGATCAGGAGCCTTGGTTCCACTTACTCGGCTGGCTAAGTCAAGAGATATGAGGGTTCAACGGAACGCAACCGGCGCCCTTCTCAACATGACACATTCAGGTACGCTTTCAGCTCCTAGTAACTGGTTTGTTGAATTGTTCTAATACTATTTACATAGATGAGAATCGACAACAACTCGTAAATGCAGGCGCCATCCCCGTACTAGTCCAACTTCTATCGTCTCCCGATGTCGATGTTCAATATTATTGCACGACAGCGCTTAGCAACATTGCCGTCGACGGCAACAACCGCCGGAAGTTAGCTGCGTCGGAGCCTAAACTTGTCCAGTCCCTTGTTAACCTAATGGACTCTTCCTCTCCTAAGGTGCAATGCCAAGCCGCATTAGCGCTTCGAAACCTCGCTTCCGACGAGAAATATCAGCTAGATATCGTCCGAGCGCAAGGTCTTAACCCGCTGCTACGCTTGCTTCAGTCCTCTTACCTACCTCTAATCCTCTCCGCGGTTGCTTGCATACGTAACATATCCATCCATCCCTTAAACGAGTCTCCTATTATCGAAGCTGGATTCCTGAAGCCTCTAGTCGACCTTTTAGGTTCCACCGATAACGAGGAAATCCAGTGCCATGCCATATCGACCCTCCGAAACCTTGCCGCAAGTTCTGACCGCAACAAAGCGCTGGTCCTCGAAGCTGGTGCGGTACAGAAATGCAAGCAGCTTGTCTTGGATGTTCCGGTTACCGTCCAGTCTGAAATGACGGCTGCAATTGCCGTCCTTGCACTATCTGACGACCTCAAAACGCACTTGTTAAATCTCGGCGTGTTCGACGTCCTTATCCCTCTAACACATTCGCCAAGCATTGAGGTTCAAGGCAATAGCGCCGCAGCCCTCGGCAACCTGTCCTCGAAGGGTAAGTCTTGATTCTAATTTTATTGATCTCCTAGTTATTAATATGGCGCAGTTGGCGATTATTCTATCTTTATCCAGGACTGGACAGAACCAAACGGCGGCATCCACGGTTACTTGAGTAGGTTCCTGGCCAGCGGCGATGCCACGTTTCAGCACATTGCTATTTGGACTCTCCTCCAACTGTTGGAATCTGAAGATAAGACCTTGATTTCACACATTGGAAAATCGGATACAATCGTGGAGATGATTAAACAGATCGCGAACCGACAACCCGAGTCAGATAACGAATACGAGGAGGATGACGAAGGCGAAGTGATCAACCTTGCGCAGCGTTGCCTGGAGCTGCTTGGTCAGAGCATGTCGAAGGCGCACATAGAAGGATGAAGTAACAGACTACCGCATTTCTTTTTTGTTTTAATTATCGATACTGTCAGACTCCCCCTATTCAAGCGGGCATTCACACGGATGTGGTTGGTTCCCGGTGTTTGAGGCGTATGTTATATAAGCATGCATGTGTATTTCGTCAACGATAAGGCTGCTTCGATATTTTATTAGGAACGCATATTCTCATTGGGTGGTTTGAGTCGCGGGTGGGTGTATTGCAGGTTGCATTTGCCCCAGAAGCTAGCTTAGTGGAAGACACTCGATCTCATTTGTACGCGGCGGCGTAGCCGGTTGAAAAGATGACTACTTGACCAACCACTCCTAATAAGTCATGAGCTACTCTTGCGAGCCTCATGCGCGGAGCTAAACTCTTGTAATTAGATTGCCCTTCCTCATCAAAAATGATATCCGGTAAACAATGCTTCCGAGACGCCTCCATGTGATGCAAATTGTAATACAAATATGATACGCCCGTGAGCTTTTCGCAATATACCTAGGTAGCTTGGGTAGTTATACTCATAGCAAACATGAAAGTGGTCATGCTCTACGCGAATCCGATACAGGCTGAAGACCGCTTTCCACCTTGGTGAACCAATTAAACGGCCACCAACCATTCACGACCACTTTGGCAACCACTTTACCCTTGATAAGACCCATGGGAATGGGACCAAAGTCGCGACTATCCCTAGACCAGGGGAGGTTGTCTCCGACTATGTAACAATGACCTTTAGGTATCTGAAGTAGGACTTGGTCAATACTATATCCTCACTCTTCCTCATAAGAGGTAGGTACCTATCTATATAAGACGCGAGCAGAGTAAATAAAATAAAAGTCAATCAACCATAACATACCTGTATCATAGCATCAGCGCCCACGCCCGGCGAATTCAACAGCACGTAGTCCCCCGGCAGGCCCAGCACGCGCTTGATGCCCTCCTCGCCGGGCTCGACGGGGATGCTGTACACGACGCAGTCGCCGACGCGCACGCCGCGGCCGCGCCGGTGCGACCGGTCCGTTACGAACCACTCGTTCATCGTCTGGAAGGTCGGCAGCATGGATGGGCCCCACCCGTAGCCCGTGCTGTACCCGTAGGTCACGAGCAGGTGGCCTAGGGCTAGCGCTTTGGTCGTGTATAGGAGCACGCGGAAGGGGTGGCCTAGGAGGGACGGCATTGTGGCGTGGTGGTTGGCGGGGGGTTGTGTGAGTGTGGGTGTGGGTGAGGGTAGGGGATATATATGTATGGTGCTTTTATCAAGGATGATGAGGCGGTTTGGTGGCTTGCATGGTTCTGTAGGGTGGGAATGGGTGTGGGAATTTAAAATAAGCTTATATTAGTTTAGGTAGGTAGGTATGGGTGTATATTATATCAGGCGATGAGTATAAATTTTTGAACTTAAGATGAGGTTCATATGACCTTGACGAATGGATGAATAGCTGCAAGATACATACATGTATGTATTGTATTAAGCCGCAGCTTAAACTTTAGGTACCGAGTCTTGGCGCAGAGCCACATATGTATGTACATCATAAGCCGCCGGCGGAAAAGTATAGCGTGATTGGCTGTTGAGCTCCAGCCCTAGACGGTACGTAGTACTTAGAAGTGGGATGCGCTTGTAGCTCCAAACTCAATTCTTGCTGCAAAACGACTTCACCTTTACAAGGCGTTATTCTAAAGCGCGGCAGCAGCACCGCTCGATAGATGCCAATTCCACCATCCCAATTGTGTTCTATAGACATATAGACCTATAGACCCATAACACGGAGGAAACACAAGTCAAAAAATGGCACAACCACGCTGTCTCGCCAGCTCCTCGCCCGCACGAGCTCTACACGGAGTCCTCGTCTCAGACCTCCTCAGCCGCAACAGAATAACCTCCCTCGCACCGCGCATAACATCCCCCTACCTCCTCCCGCCGCGGCTCTTCTCCTCCAGCCGCCTGCTCCCAAAACCCAATGCCGCAACCTTACCATCACCATCACTACCACCACCACGACAAACCCGCACACTCTCCACAACCCCCATCCTCCACCGCATCGACCAATCCGAAAAGCGACCAACCAACAACAAGATCCCATACGACTACGTGCGCGTAGTCGGCCCGCCCCCCGATAACGCCCTCTCCCCGGCGCGCCACATCGACTCGGTCCTCGCCACCATCAACCCCCGAACCCACACCCTAGTCATGGTCGCCCCGCCGCCCCCCTCCGCCGACCCATCCACCCCCGAAGCCGAAGCAGCCATATGCCGGATAATCGACAACGAGGCCGCCAAGGCCGCCGCGCGCGAAGCCAAACAACGCCTGGAAGAAGCCGAGCAGGCCGCGCGCCGCAAGGCCGCCAACACCAAGGAGCTCGAGTTCTCGTGGGGCATATCCGCGCACGACCTGGGCCACAAGCTGCGGCGCCTGCGGCAGTTCCTCGACCTGGGCCTCAACGTCGAGGTCATACTGGCGAAGAAGCGGGGTGCGAAGCCCGTTTCGACGGAGACTGCGCAAGCGGTCCTGGAAGCGGTTAGGGGCGTGCTGGGGCTGGTTGATGGGGCGAAGGAGACGAGGAAGATGGATGGGAGGGTGGGGGGTGTGGTGAGGTTGTATTTCGAGGGGCCGAGCGAGAAGAGGAGGAAGAAGAAGAAGGAGTTGGAGAAGGCAAAAGAAAGGGAGAAGGAGGAGAGCGAATAGAGGAAGTAAAAGAGAGAGTTCTAGTTGCTACGACTAGTAGTTGGTGTATGGTGTACGAAGAGTGAACTCTATGTATACCTAGAAATGGCTTGGCCAGAGGATCGGCGCGGAACAAGCTGCTTAGCTTGGCGAAGATACTTGTTAAGCATCTAGCGTCCCAGCGAAAATACGAATCTAAGAGCGGTTCATATGGCTGGACGGATGTAGGTCATAATAAGAGAAAATACGACCTAAAAAGGGTCGTGTATAGTAAAACTACCTAAAATAACATATTCTGCAGTCACAAGCACTGATATTAGGACTTGGATAATATAAAGCTAGTAAAAGTATTTTACTATTGAAGTATTACAAAGGATTGCTTTCAAAGCAGGTATATACCGAATATATATTTCCAGAACGCCGCCGATGCCATGATCTTGCCGGCCTTCTATCCTACACTACGTGTCCTTATACCTGAATATATCTGGCGCTTGAGTAGTTGAAGCCGAATAAATATCCTCATTTCGTCGTCAGCGGGCAATACGAACTTCTTAATCCTTCATCACAAAGAAGCACGCGCCCAGGACGCTAAACGCAATCGCACTCGTCACAAAGCCAGCCGCTACCTTTTCTCCCGTTGAGATCGGCGTCAAACTCGGCATGTACGCCTCAATCGCCCGCCCAGCGTCGGGATTGCCGACGGATGTCCCGCCCGTAGTTGCAGTTAACGGCGCCGGCGTCTGCTTCTTAACTAACGTATATTGTATAGCAGACAACGCGCTCATTTGCTCGCCGACACCAGCAAGGCCGTCGAACTTTTCCTTTTCCGTCCACTTGAATCCGCACGCTGTACCAGCCGGGCCCTTATACAGATCAGTTGACGGCGAGCCAGAGCACTGCTGCGCCGCTGCCGCCGCGTTAGTTTTAAGTAACGGCATTAGCGTATCAAAGGTAAAAGGGGCCATCTGCGACGCCGAAGTCATCCATCGCATAAGATAACCCTTAAAACTTTGCTGATCGTAGTCGCAAGAGTTGAAGCCCTCACACGGCCGCTCAACTACGATATTGTCGTCGAAGAAATATTCTTGTGTCCTCTTGACTAGACCCTCTACTCGCTGCTTCCAAATATCCTGACCCTCTGTAAAATTGTACATCATGCTCGCACCTTGTAGGAAAATACCTGCGTTGTAGGTCCATTGCGCTTTGTTAATATCGACACAGCCTGTATCCGCGCCCGCTCCGTCGTAAACGTTGAAGTCGGCGTCGATGAATTGAACCTTTTCCATCCAATCCCAGACTTTCTCAGCCCAGTCGCCGTACGTTTGGTTCCCCGTATATCTAGCTAGTCGAGAAGCGATATTAAAAAAGCAGCCATTGGATATGGAGTTCTTGTAGCTATATCCATTGTTGAACGTAAATACCTGCCACCGCAAACCACCACCACAAGTATCGGCATCCCATCGGGTTATATACTCGTTAAAAACAGCTTGGACCAGTGCTAACCACTGTGGTTGATCTTCCGGCGGGTTCGGAAAGTTGTTCTCGGCGGCGGTCATGGCGGCCATAGCCCAAAATCCTTGATCGTCGTTTCCTAGCGATCTTGTCTGATTCTGGGGCATGTAATCGCTGTCTTCACCTGCTTGATGCTGCAGTGCTTGCGTTGTTATATCGTTGTACGTTTCGTCACCAGTATAAAACCAATAGTCAACTAGCGTACCAAACATAGCACCCGCTTCCCACCCTAATATCTTATAAGTAACCATCTTGCCAGAGTAAACGGGGTTACGTACAGAAATACGGGTCCGGTAAGTTCCCAGGAGTATCGCCTGTGTTATTTCCCGTATAGTATTTCACCAACCCGAAAGCAACAGTACTTGCTGCATCTTTTATGGAATCTAATATGTGTTAGCTATGTACGAAAATATTATCATTAATCACGTACCATCGCTATTCCAGTCGATTTCTAAGGCTCTCGTTGCACCTGCCAGCAGGCTTACGATGCCTGCTATACGAAGTGACAATTGCATTATGAAATAAATATATATATAGTCGAAGAAAGGAAGGTGATGGATGGGTCTTGCCCACGAAAGGTCTAGCTTTTGAGCTGAAATGGAATCGTATTTTCTCAAGACGGCCGCATGTCCTCAAAAGAGTTATGAGTCGAGGAGTAAAAGGTCTCAACTGTGACCTCGAGTATCGGTATCCAAATCGTTATTACTGCTCTCGATAGACCAAACCTCCGAACAGCCACCCAAATCCACACGCTAAGAAATCAGTCGCTAGGACGAAACGAAAGCAAGATAAAAAAAATAAAAAAAAAGCTCGGCCGGTAGCGAGCACGAAAAGAAGGTATGGAAAGAAATAGTAAAGAAGGAATCGCGCGGCGAAACGAAACGAAAAAAAGAGACTTCGATCTAGAAGCCAATATGAAAAGAAGTGAACAGTTGAAGACGGGAAAGGACACAAGCTCCCAGGAGCAAGTTTAGGAAGACAAGGTGGGCCAGTGCATAGCGTATCGCCCATACGTCAATCACCTCCGATCGTCCAAAGCTTAGTCCCTACCTAATTATTTCGCGTGCGTACAGTTCCATCTCTGTGTACCCGTGAGGCTATGCCAGATGAATCGGCATGCTGAAACCGTTCAGGTTGGATCTATGCGGAGCGCGTCTCAAAAGAGAAGAGACCGGGGTATGAGAGCGCATAGTTACACTATGAGATGAGACCGTTTGTTCAATATCATTGCAAATCATATTATATTAGTTCGTAGATCATTCCATTGATGAACGTACGTGCGGTGGCTCAAAATGAAGGGATTTGTTGATTTCGTTTATATTCCTCGTAGGGATTAAAACAAAATTGAAGATAAAGGTTGAAGAAGTTGAAGTTGAAGTAAACGAATAAAGTTGTGGGGAGAAGCTACCCCTGTATCAAGAACTCAGGTAACCTAAACAGGGGTATTACTAAAACGCTGCTGTCCCGGCATCATAATACCCGTTCGTAGCTTCTTACATTTCAGTACTGCTTACATCTGGCGCTTGCCTTTCCCAACTCAATTAATAACCTTCTGTGGAACTGGTCTTGTATTGCGGAAGCGTTGTTGAATCTAAAAGGACTACGAAACCTCGTCTATTAGGAATATACCCAGCCCTGGGGCCTCGTTCCTTCCCTTGATGCTATAACCGTGACTCACGATCATGATGTGGACCACCTGCCAACACCTTCCTCATAGGTATACTTCGTCAAGTTGCCACGACCCGTCTAATAACAACTAATACATACACAGGGCAAAGAACAAGCAAATTCCTCATATTCGAGGAACAAACCGAAAAGTTGTATGCAATTCAAGCTACCTGAGACGCACATCCGGCGGTCTATCAGGTCTTGATATCTATTGATAGTCTAAAGAGAAATGTTTTGGTATCGAAATCCCGAGCGCACTTAACGGCAACTCGCCGTCCATCATAACCCGCTCACCGCTCGCCGCTCGCCGTGAGAATCCTGGCCCCTGATTTTATTTTATTCACTTCCGCGCTGCAAAGAGAATCATATTAGCAAACGTCACTTCATCCAAAACGTGTTCAAGCTTTCCGCTTCTTAGATAGGGGTTGCGCACCGTTAGCTTTGGGTTCCTACTCGTTATCATCTGCCATCTCCTCATCCTCATCATCCTCGAAGTCGACCTCGCTAATATCAGCTTCCTGGGCTTGGCCTTCGAAACGCGTCAGCAACTCTCACTTTTTTATCCTATTATTAGCATGAGACTTACTAAAGTACTTGATGGCGTTGACCCAAAGGTCGTCGCTGATGGCAAGCGCCACTTCTTCGCCATCCGGGAAGATTTCGAGGGACAAGGGGTCCTCCTCCTCGTCCTCCTCATCTTCGTCTTCTTCCTCCTCGGCCGCCTTGAGTTCGGGGGCCTGTCCTGCGGCCCTTTCGGCCTTCCTCTTCTTCTCTTCCTCAATAGCGAGGCGGCTCTCTTCAGCAGAGATGTTTAGACCCCGGTATCCGAAAAAGCCGAAGAAAGAAACCGCGCCTAGGCCGGTAGCTTCGATCTTCTCCTTCAAAGCCTTCTCGTCGGGAGTGTAGTCCTTCTCCTTCTTTAACTTGGTGCTGTCGGTAACGGGGTTCTTCTTGTCATTCTCCCAGACCTTTACGACTAGGTCAAGCATTCCCTGGGTGAGATCCTTGTCCGATGACTTCCACTTGATGGGGACCGGTTCGCTGACGAGGCCCTCGTCACCCTCCTTACCGACACGGTAGTAGAACTTCTTCTCGAGGACCTTGTCTTCGAACCATTCGTTCTCACCAAACTCCATCTTGATGGAAACGCTGCGGGGATCTCCGTTGCCGCCATTTTCGATCTCGAAGTGAGAGACCGAGACCGAGGTCAGCGCAGACAAGAGCACGGCGGAGTCGCTGGGCTGGATGTATTGGTCTAGATCAGGCGGTGCCTGCTCAAAAACCAGCGCCCAAAAGTTGGGGATCTTCTGAACTAGCGCTTCTCTCTTCTCATACAGAGGCTTGGTAAGAGCAACCTGTTGGCGAACTAATCAACGTGTAAGTATGAATTTACTTTTCTTGTGAGAAGAGGTACTTACTTATTTCCGTCTCAACATCCTCAAAGTCCTTGTCCAAATCCATCAACTCCTCGTAGGTGGCAATAGCCAAATCGATCTGTTCTGACGTCGCCATGGCTGAAGTAAGTCGGGTTGGTGATGTTTGAAAGATGACGGAATAGCTTTAAAAATTGGTAGTTATTATATCGTGAAAGAAAGTACAAGTCAGGCTCGCACCAAGATCTTTTATATGCAAAAATACTAGGCAGCTAGGCTACTTGTGCTACATAGTATGTGAAAAAAAAATTCTCGTCGATCAACTAAAATCCGTCATTGGTCGACAGTTGCTAGCGAATGGACGGTTGTCACAGTCACGGCAGCGATGAAGTGGGGGTTTTTCTCTGCAAAGGTCTTGGCAAGGGTCTACTTACCACTAGACTTCGCACCCATCCTTCCTAATAAGGAAAAGATATTTTTTTCATTAAGCTACCTACCTATTTATTCCTACCCTATCGTGTACCTACATTTAGTGATACGATAGGTGAGACACAGTAAAAGAAATAAAATGGATCAAATTTCACTTAAACATACTAACTATCACTAGAACAAGTTTGAGAAATATATTGGCCCTTCAAAGAAAGTTGGGCCAACGTTCCTGACCCAAGGTTTTAAAGTTAGCCTAACTTACATATCATCCACCGTAAAAACAACGAGCAAAAAAAAAATATATATACATAATGCAGGTCCCGACAAGCTAGACCATTATAGAAGGTGGGGGGGCAAACTCAGATTTCCATGGACATGGGACATGGGGATAAATCCCATCCCATCTGATCGGGGCGGTGGGGGCGGTCGTACCTGGCAGAAAAATAATTATTATCGTTCTTCTCCAATCGTTATCAGTTCGCAAGTACAAACCAGCTAAGTGGTAGGAAGTAGCTCTACATACATATGTGCCCTTGCCCGTCGTCGCATCTCGACACCAGGTATCGTTTCTCTATACATTAGGTCAGGAGGTACCTCTTAGTCCTGTCGCCCATACAATCCAACCGCGCACTATGAACGGTCTTCCTGGAGCCGGAGCCGGCGCTGCCGCCGGAGGCGCCGCGCCGTATGGTCCGAATGATCCTAACGTTAAGATGGTTCGTGTGCTTTCTTCCGGGTTTGCTGCGCGAGAAAAGTAGCCATCGCTAACTTACTTGTGCGCGGCTAGTTGAACGCCATGATGGAGTCGTGCTTCGGCAAGGCTGCTGTCTCTGGTGTAATGGGTTTCGGTATGGGCGGTCTGTTTGGAATGTTCATGGCTTCGGTACGTACCTAGCATCTCCGCCTCGGCCCTACTCGCATCTATTCACACATACACACATAACAACCCCCCAACTAACTAACCCACTCCCCCCCTCCTACAGATGGCCTACGACACGCCCTTCCACACGCCCGGCGCCGCGGGCGCCGCGCCGACGCCGATCGCCAACCTACCCTGGCGGCAGCAGCTCAAAGTCGGGTTCAAGGACATGGGGTCGCGGTCCTACAGCACGGCCAAGAACTTCGGGCTGGTGGGCCTGATGTTCGCCGGCATCGAGTGCGGCATCGAGGGGTACCGCGCCAAGAACGACATGTACAACGGCACCGCGGCCGGGTGTCTGACCGGCGGCATCCTGGCGCGGAGCGGGGGCCCCACGGCCGTCGCCGGCGGGTGCGCTGCGTTCGCGGCGTTTAGCGCCGCGATCGATGCGTGGTTGAGGGCGCCGAAGGACGACGAATAGACAGACAAATAAATAGGACGTCTTTGCGCGAGGGAGATGTGAAGATGAAAAATGGGGTGTGGTATGGTGTGGTGTTGTGTTGTGTAGTGTAATTGTCAAAATCGGTTCGTGGTATGGCGTTGGGTCGGGTGCATAGGATCACGGCGTTATGGTTTCCGCGGATCTATACATGGTATATACATGGTAGAAAGGGGGCATACATTCTCCACTTAGGGTCTTAACATGTACATACAGAAGATATGATGGAGTTGGTTGCGATACCGCTTGATGAAGGATGAGCCATGGTCGTCCACGATAGAGTAATGTCAATAGCAAATCGTCAGCTTATCGATCTTGGGCGAATGTTCAGATCTACAGCGAACTCCGTGTTAATCTTATTTAATTCTTCATGGTATCTCTATATCTCTATGTCGCTGAAGAATTATTCTGTTTCTCCGCAGTAGCCCTTCTAAACGCATGAACTCCAAGCTACCGTTATGGCGGCTTATAACGGGCCGTCCATAAACTTTGCTCAAATACCAAAGTCAAATCCACTGATCTATTGTGTGAACAAGGAGATTCACGGTGAAGAAAGAGGAGTGAGGCAATTAAGCTACGTCAAATTATATGTTACCAACTTTTATTGCGAGCTAAACGAATATAGCGAACCTATTTGATATGCTATAGTGTCAATGCCGTATAGGTTTATTTCTCCTTCGCATAGAAAACCTCTTATAATCCATTTCCCTGCACGGTACAAAAACGTCCATAAGCCTCTATACCCACCCTACCGGCCCATCATGACATTTGCTTCATCAGTACCGATCATGTTCCCCGTCTGAAATAATCATTGAATAACCGCCAACTCCAAAAGGTATTATCCATTAGATAGTGTAGACTTTCGATTACGTAGCCTTGTAGACTTCGAATTTACCAAACTCCCAAAATGCATTGATAAAGGCTTCGGGGTTGTTAGCAACATAGTCGGTGCAGTTGCTCGGGCCTGCAAATAGTCAGTCATCGAATCCTTGATATATTAGGCGCCTTGTGCGATAAGAGAAAACAACTTACAGCCGCTAGTAGCGTACAAAGCGCCGGCATATTGTCCGCAGAGATCGATGTTGGCGATGATACTCTGGTTCTTAAAGTGCGAGCCGATGTCACAGTTTGTGTTCGGAAAGTCCGCAGAGGCTGAGCCCCAGCTGCTCGGATCCGGGTTCCTGGCGGTGATATCGGTAGGGATGTTGCTCCTGCCGAACTGCCACACCCGGATACCCTCGTTACGCCACTCCATGGCGATAATGCCGCCCTGTGCGTTGTTGTACGCGCTGCCGTAAGTAGCGGCGTCGCCTCTAACTCCGCAGCCGGCATTGTTGTCGGTAGCGTTGTAACAGTCGTTTGAAAGACCCGAATCGCTCATTATACGCTTCACGTCCATCGAGCAGCCATCTGTCGTGTGCAGCGTCATCTGGTTGCCGTCGGTAGCTTGGTTCGCAGCCTCCATGATGTCGATCTCACCGTGGTCCGGCCAGTTGGCGGGGTCGACGAGCCACAAGGCGGGCCAGGTTCCACACCCGAACGGCGTGTGCTTTACATCGAAGATAAAAAGGCCGTCATCGTACTGCGTTTGAGATTCAAGTCTCACGGAGAAACGGCCCGTCGATGCATCAGGTGTGGACTGGGGACCGACGCTGGTATCGACTCTTATAATGGCCGAATCCTCAGAAGCATAGGTGAGATTCTTAAACAGGCAATTATTAGCGTGGTGGTGAGGCGCCAAGAAAAAGTAAGCACTTACCAGTTGCGAAGCTTGCGCTTCGGGGACATAATGAACGAATCCCTGCGCCGGATCGTATCCTGTGAAATAATTGAACTTGTCGAAGAAGGACGTCCCGGAATCTAAGAAGGTGGTCAGTCGGGCTTTGTACAAAACGCGAATACGGAATTTGACCGAGAAGCTTACATTCGTCCACCAAGGCATAATTGAGTTTGGTATAATTTGGGTAGCGGTTTGCCTTAGCGACCTCAACGGGAGTGACTACGGCGACGATGATGATGATTATAAGAGCTACTACAACGATAGCCCAAGTTCTTTTCCTCCATGATCTTGGATTCCACCAAGGTAGAGCTGATTTATTATATTTGTTATACATATTCCGTCGCGGATAATCCTGTCGTTCTGTCGAATAGTAGGGTGTCGGTCCAGTTACCATTTCAACTGGGCCGTCGGTATCTCTAACTTGGAATGAAGTAGGACCAGCCTTAGGCTGAGCGGGCGTGTTCTCCCAACCCATATTTGTAGTCAAATTTTTACTTGGCCTGCAAGATAAGCTCGTGAAGAAGGTTGCGGCGAACTTCGCTTAGTGACCGTCCGACGCCGAATGTTGTTGTCTGCTGCGCCGCAATGTTGCCAATGTCGCCAATAGCCTGAAATCCAATTTGTAATATTGTATGGTATCCCAGTGGAAACAGGCGATTCTTTTGAAATGAGTTGTGCTTAAAAGACTGCGAGGGTTCTAGCCGCGGTTGTTAGAATTATACTGGTTAGGAGGTGGTTGGCAAGGAAGTTTAGCAGCGTTGCTCGATGTGGCGTATTAGAATTGTTTCACTGAATTGACTCTAAGCTAGAAGTTTATTCTATCTGATTAATGTAATTAATGTGACGAGACGAAGGTGGATAAATAAAGACAAATGCTGTCACCACTCACCACTCACCTAAAGAGTGGTTGATAATACGAGATAAGACACCCTAAAGTACTACAACGATGCATCATTGCAGCAACGAATTAACAACCACCAATGAAGAGGTTGCATATATCGTACCACAAATGAAAGACTGGAGAAGAGAAAAAAGGCCTGACGCGTTGGAAGTTCCACGTTTGGCTCCGATGAAGCCGGTCTATCCTTCCGGTCCTACGTATTGCTACGTAGGTTGTGCCAAGGTTCGATACGACATATCGCAACTACTCTTCGCTATGTACTTTCCACACCAAAGAATCCGGTTGCCTGGTGCCTTCTCAATTAGTACATTTTGTACCTGGAGTTGCGGGTCCTTGGTACGCACCCGTTCTGCCGTTTCACACCAATCTGATCCGCGCTACGATCGAGCACAGCCCTCCCCAATGACGTGCGGGTAACCTAATCGATACACTAGTTAGACTGTTTCGGTACAAGTCCGCGAAGCTACAGCGAATGAAACAACGTGCCAAGGCAGGACCCGCGTTCTAGAACGTCTAGTTACTCTGCTATCCGTTTACATGTTTCAATGATACCTTCACGAAAATCTCTAATCTAGTATGAAAAGGCTATTGTTTAGAGCATCAAGTAATTCAGCCTTACAGATATACAGTTAATATATCTGCAACTCCGGCGGCAGGTGCTAACTTGTTGGGCGGGCCCTTTGCGGATGACTATGATCATAGTATAAGGTCGACATTGGCGCTTGACACTCTGGCTAGATGAGCAGAATCTGCGCATGGGACGGAGTAGTGCTACTCAGATAGATGCCCCGATGAAAGATGGGAAAGAAAACAAGATTTGGCTACTGGAATGGGTGAGACATAGTTGTACAGGCTAGTAGCTGTGGCGTTTTTGGTGAAGAACATCCAGAGGTTGAAAGAGCGTTTCGGTAAGTCGGTCTTCAACCCAGCTAAGGACGTGGAAATGTATGTGAAGCCTAGAGAGCAGGGTGTGGGGAAGTGGACTCTGAAGATGGGGGAGAGTAAGACGAGAGTACCCATTGCATCTGGCTAAGGGGCTGGAAGCGTTGTGGTTGGAATATATAGTGGTATGGGATATTGTGAATAGCAGTAGAATATTGTTCTTATTTCCAAATCTGACGACGTGACGCTACTTCTTATTTAGGCACGAGTTTATACCTATTATTATTACTTCTAGATGTTTACTCGTTAACAACATCCTAAATTCTAGGTAGTTTATATTGAGATACTATTGAAGATCTGTTTAATCACAGCTTCCTGTATACATATAGACACTGATGCAATGAGATCCTATTACAACCCATTCTCCATATCTCATGAAAATAGATGTTGCACTCATCTCTCAACTGCCTGGTCGGCCGATAATAAGACAATATCACAACATATGGATAATGACTAACATGGCGTAATAAGATTCCTAAGCCAGGACAAAACACAGTTTGATAAGTGGGTTATTCTTCAATATATCATATACTAGATTCCCACTCGCCTAATACGCCTTATTCTATTTATACACTACGACATCCACTCATTGCAATGCCGTTGACTCCAGAATTAGCCGGCCTAGCGATTTAGGTATTGACGCTGATCTGGCGTATAAGGTGCAACACTGTCACCGGTGAACTGAGAAGAAAGGTATGGTCCTGACAACGAGGAAGACCGTCGGATTATGGATACACGCTATCTGGTAACTCCCCATTTTTTTAACCATATGTAGTAGGTGTGCACATGAAGACAATGCATGGTAAATATTAAGTATGCTGATCTTTCAATCGTCTTCGTCCACCCGAGCACGTTTTGGTTGCCTCGACTCTCCCTCCTGCAATCCATAGCCCCTCTTGGACGATGAGCTCTGATCCACCTCGGCCATGAACTTGTCCATTTGAAAGGGGTCATTGCCAGCTGTGTCCTTCTCGAACTGAACAGGCCCTTCTCGTACCTGATTCCCATATAATTAGTAAGAGTCAACAATGGAGGATATCTTGGAGTACTAACCTCGGCATCTCCGGCCCCCTTAAATGTCCCTTTACCCAGCACTTCACCAAATCGGCTGGTCTTCTGAATTTTAGCCATTTCTCGATCCCCAGCGCCTTCATCCTCGTACTCGTCCATGTTCTGGCTCGGTCGGTAGATACTACTAATGGCATCCTGTGCTGCGAAGAGCGGTTTATCGTATGGGTTGTCTTCGTTGATACCACTATCGAACCCGCTGGTCTGGTTGAATAAACGCGAGTCGTACATAGACTCGGCTTGTTGTGTAGGCTTTGCCAGGCCAAGAGCGATCTTTTCGGAGATGTCGCGGCCCTGCTCTCTTGCCATAACCTGAATCCGCCTCTCCGCACCCATGCGGGACTGGCGAAGCTTACGTTCCTCTTCCCGCCGTCTCTCTTGACGAGCCTTTTCTCTTTCACGGACATCTGAACCATCACTCTCCGAGCCAGAATCCGAATAACTGTAGCTGCGTGATCGTGACCGTGACCGCGAATCGCGGGAGGTCCTAGAGTCGCGACGTTTTGAAGCGCCACCGCGCTCTTCTCGAGCTTTCTGCGCAAGCATACGTAAGTTCTCTTCCTTCTGTGCTTTCTCCTTTTCTGCGAGTCTTTGTTGCATAAGCGCTCTCTGGCGAACTTCTTCTCGGGCGTGTCTATCTGCCATGAAGAGTGCCTCTGAGAATTGAGCGAACTTGTCGTTAATTGTAACGTCTTGTAAACCTCTACCATCTGCCGCCAATCGCTTGTCAAGAGGAACTGTGAAACCCTTCGGATTCTTCCAATTCGATACTGGGGGCGGAATTTTCCACATTTCTTGGTCTTCGGCGGTCAACTTTCGTGGTGGTGAGTGCATGATAGGCGGCGGAGGGCTGGGAGGTCCACGGGGGATCTTCTTGTGCTTGAATTTGGGTGGTTCCACTGTAGTATATAGAGGTTAGTATTGATGATATGCCACCGTTAAAAGATAGCAATAGAAAGGAAAATAGATGCACGTACTGGGATCCTTTTGCCGCTCTACGATTTTCATGATTCTGTCCTGCTTCTTCGAGTTGTCTCCCATCTGGTTCGCCGGTGTGTAGCGTACGAATGTAGGATCCTTTCGCGCCCCAACATTGACATTCTTCGGCTTCTGGGCTGCAACAGCACCGCTAACGAGTGCAGCGAGGGCTTTTGCTGTTCGTTCTTTCGTGTCCTCCACCTCTTGCTCGCTGGGTCTCTCCAGATTGATTTCGCCTGCATCTGCACGCTGTCGAAGAGGAATGAGGTCTTTAAACGACGAGTGGACTATCCTCCCTTCGCCGTGACCCTGTCTTGCGATGGCATCGTACTTGACCTTCCCGGCGGCATCGACTTGGATTGCTAGAGCATTGCTTGTACCCGACTCTTTACCCATCGATAAGGGATATTGCGCGATCGGAATCTCTGGGAAGGCACCTCCATCGCCGAAATCCTCCTGGCCTCTTGGCCGCCATCCTGCTCGCTGGCCGTACGGCGGCGGGCCAGTTCTTCGAAGGACAATTTGCGATTCGTCTATTTGACCAGCACCAACAATTCGAGGACCACGCTGCTGGGCGTGCGCCGGGATATCTTCATCCTCGCCAGTATACTTCGGCTTCGGTAAAGCAGCCGTAAGTGATGCCGCCATCGTGAGGACTAATTGTAATGTATCTTTAATATGTTGTTGAAAAATTGGCTGGCCAAGTTTTTGCAGCACCCGGAAAGTTGAAAGTTCGTAGATGCGTCGCGGTTCTGCAAGACGACCTACTAATTAAAGTGGAGAACAAACGGATTGTGGCTGGAAAATTGTATAGGTACCTAAGGTACTTCCTCGCCACGGCATGATTATACAATTAAAAAGTATATGCATTTATCGACTCGTACTAACATCTGGTGTTGTATTCTTAGTAACGTAAACCACGGGTCAAAGGCTCACACGGGTCAAAGGCCCAGTGAAAATACATACAAAATACGTCTGTGCGTAACCGTGCACTTTACTTAAAATAAATCGTATTAAAAATCGGTTTTCGAAATTGAATATGCATTTAAATTTTAATAATGATAGTATTTTTTTATAAAATTTTACTATTTTTTTTAATTAATAAAAAATAAAAAACATAAAAATGGACTTAAAATAATAATATTTTTTTATAATTAATATTATAATGTAATAATATTTTTTTCCATTTTTCTATAAGTTAGGTATATAGTTAAATATAACATATTAAAATTTGAGATTTTTAAATTAAGATTCCGTAAAGTTATAAATTTCTGAAATATTAGAAATAAGGTGTGTTTTGCGTTGGGCCTTTGACCCGTGTGAGCCGTTGACCCGTGGTTTACGTTACATGGTACATAGTACGTTATGTATTTGACTACGAAGAGCTTTGGACTACCTACTTTTTGAACACTACGATGGATTCGTAGCTGCTACAGAGAGGCATGCAGTTGGATACGTATAAGATGATATGGTACCTAGGATAGCAAACACTCAAGAATGTAGTGCATGCCACTTACCACTTACACGGGAAATGCGTACACACCACGTAGGTATATAAGTCACCGTAACACATATTGTAACTCTGGAATAGCTGCCATTCCCCTATCTTGACCAAAAGACTTCTCATCCGATTATGTCGATAATTCTCACTTTATTTTGACTCCTATGATACATAACGCATGAGGTGCCAATGCCAACCGGTGTTCCAATACGCCGCAAAACCAGTCTTAATCTTAATGCTTCAACTTCTTCATTTACACGTAACCCTTCCGCGCGCCCTGGGATATTGTTAGCAAAAGCGCAGTAGTCTATAAACAAGTTGCATACCTGGAAGAAGAATCGGACGACAAAGACCTGCAAGCCACCCATGCAAACAACCATCAGACACTGGACCAAACTGAAGTTGACAATTCGCGACTCCGTGCTTCGGACGGTGCTGAAGTTTCGGTTTTCTCGTGTGCGGAAGTACTTTTGGTTTCGCGCAATCGTAGACAGTTGACCCGACACCTTGTATATAGATTCTTCGAGAGCTGTTGTCTGTTCTGGAGTCGATCCTTGCTTAGAGGGAAGCTGAGCCCGTACTTCGTCCTCAACCTAGATGAAAATGAGTTAGAACCCGTACGTATTGTCCGGCAACGAGGACTCTACTCACAGAGATCTCAAAATCGACAAACTTCTCCGAATATGTGCTCATATCATTATCGAAGCAAAACTTATACTCGCCAACCTCATTGGCCGTGAAGACGAAATCGCCCTGACGCTCCTTTTCTCCGTCCAAAATGACCTTGTCTCCGGGACCGGTTACTCTATAGTTGATGTCGAACGAGCCTCCAGATTGGACCTGTGATAAAAGCCGGTCAGCGGGGCAGTTAGCAAGGCAATGCGCATGAAACCTACGGCGAAGTAGAAGGCAATCTTGGAGCCCTTCTTTTCAGCTGCTGCGTAAAAGCAAGCCTGCTCGTTAGCACCAATCTTATAAGTTAAAGCGGTTGCTGAGACTAAAGAGAAAAGGCAGGCGAATAGCCCAGCTGAAAATAATGTTAACTTCATATTGCGTTGTTGTGCGCAGTCGGAGGATATGAAGTTGGTTGAAAGCTTGGGGGACCTTCTGGACAACTTGTCGCAAGCGATAGGTAATTGCTTTAACTGCCACGCTTGAAGCCACGCTTGAACATTGAATTCAAGGGCCGACACCGTGCAACCGTCAGGGGTCGGGTTATTACTTGGCCCGATCATCTTTCGTGTCCACTTCCAACACGTACCTAAAAAGGTACTTAGATACTTTGGTACTTCGCCCCTTACTTAACAGCTCGTACCGAGAGTTTAATCAGTTAAACTCGATTGGTCCCAGATAAAGCATACCGGCGGGGATAGTGGAGAGCTTCAGCCACATATACAGGCATATGTAGATGTAATTATATCGCTCCACTGTCGTCACAGCTACCTACCTTGTAGCAGGCTAACATTGCGACAGGAGGTTCGGTAACTTGCGACGGAAACCCTACCTTCACCCTACTTTTCAACTTTGCATCTACAACTTTAGATGGCCTTTCCTTACCATCTAATCGTGACGCCATCATAGGCCTCCATCTGCGGAGTTTTATTTTTTATCTCAAATCTATATACTATTTCTTCCTCTCATTCACATATATTAGATTCCTACTCATCTAAAGTCTTTAACTGCCCAGGTAGTCTCGCGAATTATTCGCTATATACATCGAGGTCGACTTGTCTTCCTTTTCGGCCCCCGAATTTATTAAGCTGTTCATGATGGGAGATCACACTAAAAGGACGGCAGCGATTGCGTCCACAGGAATTAGAATCGCTTCAATCGTGTTTCTACGATGGGTAAGAGCTTCAGCCCCTAACCCCTGATATGAATTCTACTAACGACAGCAGGTCGCTTTACCCGTAAGTTACCTTGGCTTATGCGCCGTCTACGCGATATTACTCGTACTTAATGCTTACTGACGACTTCAGCCCTTTGTCCCGATAATTTATACACTATTTGCAATATATCTTCCATCCTTCATCTCAACTTATGCTACCGAATCTAAATACGAACTTATTGACGAAGTCGATATAGTCCTCAAGGAGGATATATTGAATAAAGATGACCTTGACAATGGAACAACCAATGAAGCTGTCGTGGTTGAGGAGGTTGATGTCGAAGAGACAGCAGAAATCGTGAAGAAGCCTCTACGTCCCCTTAGTACCATCTTAAAGGGGACTCCGAACCCGAATAGTTTTTTCTTGACGGCCTTGACATTCTTACTCAATGTTGCCTGCGTCGCGATGGTCACTGACATGGTATACACACCCCGGTGGTTCTATCCCAGTCATGATCTCTCTTTTGCTCGTGTTGGATACGTCTCAGACAGCGAGGCGAAGCTACTGATCCGGGAGCCCGATCAAACTAAAATGCCTATCACCGTTCAGGTTCATATCAAAGATGCACAGCCGCCGTTTGACAACCCTCTATGGCAAACAGCTGGCAGTATTCTTTCGACGACTAACGAGACTGACTTTACCGCGGTAGTCAAAATTCCCCTGAGCCATTCTAAGCAGCGGGTATACGAATGGACCACCTCGAACAATCACTCGGGCGAATTCACATCTGCTCCTAAACCGGGTTCCCTACCGGAGCTTTTTGATGGCAAATTTACCTTTCTATCTACCTCGTGCATCGTTCCGCGTCTTCCCTATTCTCCGTTTGATCACCCCTTAACTTTCCCAGGCATGAAACATTTGGCGAAAGTATTACCGAACTTAGGCGCGCAGTTCATGTTGTTCCTTGGCGATTTCATTTACATCGAAGTACCTCAGCGATTCGGCGACTCCGTTGAGAATTATCGACAGAAGTATCGTCAAGTCTATGCTTCACCCGACTGGCCAGCCGTGGGCCAAAATCTTAGCTGGATTCATGTTCTTGACGATCACGAAATCTCTAATGACTGGGATTCGAAGTCGGCTGGTGTATATGAAACGGCCGTAGACCCCTGGCACCATTATCAGACTGCGGTAAACCCTCCGGAAGCTAAGAAGGCTGGAGGTCAGGGTATTGTATCGCGCAAAGGAGCCACATACTTCTCGTTCATCCAAGGACCTGCTAGCTTCTTCATGCTTGATACCAGAAGTTATCGCTCTAAAAACTCGGAGCCGTTTGATAGTGAAAATAAAACGATGCTCGGCGATACACAACTCGAGGATTTCCTCGACTGGGTGCGCCGCCCAGAACCCAAGGGAGTTAAATGGAAGATTGTTGCCAGTTCTGTCCCATTCACCAAGAACTGGAGAGTGAACACCAAGGATACCTGGGGAGGCTTTCTCGCTGAGCGTCGGAAGATTCTCGAGGCGATGTGGGATGCTAGCAGCCATGGAGTAGGCTTTGTGATCCTATCCGGAGATCGCCATGAATTTGGTGCGACAGCCTTCCCGCCGCCGAAGAACAGCACATGGTCAGAGAGCGCGACTGTCCATGAGTTCTCGGCAAGCCCTCTTAACCAGTTCTTTTCGCCTATCCCCACCTACTCACAGACAGACGATGAAGACGTCGAGCTCAAGTAAGTTGCGCGATAGTCCCCCTAAATTAGCAGTACGTTGACAATAGTAGATATATAAACGCGGGCAACTCTAAGTTTGGCGCGATCACCATCGAGAAGTTTGCAGAGGGCGAACAGAGCAGCTTAAAGTATACCGTCTATATCGACGGCGAGGAGAAGTGGAACACCGTGATACTATCACCGGAATCATTACATCCGGCGAAGACGGGGGGTTCTTTCTGGGACAAACTTAGGGGACTTTGACCCCAATATAGGTAATCACATATAATACGCAGCTAGCTATGTGCTTGCTTATATGCTCTCGGTTGAGCATCGAATTTGCTGGGCAGATGAATAGACTATAGTTTTTAATGGAAACGACAACAGTTGTCATAGGGTGCAAGATGCTAAATGTGATGTTATATCTTTTATTCCGGCTATATTTACAGTCTATCTTTTCACTCCACGTCTTCCTTAAACAACCGTAGCAATCATCCCAACCCTACGACTACTAGTCACGAGATCTTGTAGTCCTACCCTTAGAGACCGTCATAGGCGAGGTGCTGCCGGACCTTGAGCTACGGCCCCCTGTTGACGTTCTCGAGTGCCTCTGATCCGAAAAATCGGAATATCCGGCCCATATGCCATTGCGCCATGCTTGTCCCCTGAATAACTCCCCCGACAGACGCGCTTCGTGGAGTAGTTGCCGCCACCTCTCGCTTAATTCTTCGATGTCTTTCTTTATGTCGGATAGGGCTCTAGGGCCGTGGTGTTCCTGCTCGTCTTCTTCGCTGCTGTCTATAGTTGTGCCAGGGCGCAGCCCCTTTTTGATCGCCTCCTGCTGCTCCGATTTAGTACGATGACGATGGGGGGGTCTCGGCGGGGAATTGGAGCCCGTGTCCTTCGTTTTGCCCTTTTCGTCTGCCCTTTCGTCGTCTTGAGGGGAGATTGCAGTTATGCCGGAGTCTTTCCTTGTTGGTCTTTGTAAGCTTGGCTTTTGCTTGGGCGATGGCGATGGCGATGGCGTGCTGATTGGCGATATCATGTCTTCTGAATCCTTGGGCTCGGTAATAGGGCTGTTTGGTATATTAACATCCCCTTGTTGTTCACTAGATTTCTTCCTATGTTGCCGACTTTGTTGCTTAGGCCTAACTTCTTCTGGGCCATAAGCTGCTGGGATCGGGAGATCCTCAAATATGTGAAGCCTGCTCCGAACAAATCCTTTAGGAAGTAGCTCTGCAAATGCTTGCCTATTGATGCTGTCCAAGATATATGCGAAATATATCTGAGGGCCTACGTGTGGTCCGGCCCGGCCCGGCCACAAAAATTCTGGCACATCCGGCTGTGGTTCGGGCCTTGGCCCTTTTGGTTTTGGGCCCCTCAGAAACGGAGTACAAGGATAGCCGTGACAGTAAGATGGTCCATCCATAGGGAAGCCATCCGCATGATGATTAGGACTATAAGTAGGGTTGTTTCCCGACCTCCTAGGTGTTGTATGATTTGCTTGCATATAATTGTAATGAGAATTAGGCACGGGGCGACGAGGTATCTGATTGGTTGATTGCGTTGATCTTTCGTGGCTTCTCCGACCGCGATTAATAGGATTCTGTCTTCTAGCTGGCTGTGCGTTAGATGGTTGCTCTACGCCCTCCCGCCATGGTGGTTCTTGGTCATTAAACCCGGGCAGTTCAGCCGGCTCGTTCACCGTCTCTGGTGGGGGAGGGCAAGGAGGAGGATGAGGAGGGTTAGCCTGGGTCTCATCGGCGGCTTTATCGTCACCGAGTTTCTCTATTATTAATTCACAGCACCTTTTAATTTTATCTCGCCAAGTTTTTACCGATGGGCGGTCTGGAGCATCAGGACCTACTGCCAGAGGAGGGTAGTGCTTCATGAGGTAGAGATAACACCCTCCTATACCGAATATGGCGAAGAATATTGCAAGCATAATAGATATTACAATTACTGGCTTCTGGGGTATGGGCTTGTTATAGGCTAGAGTTGCGATGAGGACACCACCAGCAGAGACCAATATAAGGCTCACAATGCAGCATGGTATAACTTTGTAGGTGATATCTCGCACACAGCTGACTCTGCGGGTGCTTTTAAGCTTAGCCTGGCCCCCTTCTAAATCACCTAGGGGTTCATTTGCTGTTACAACCGTGGCCATGTTAGTTGGTGTTGGAGGACATTTCATGAATTGACACTATGGAGTCACCTATGCTATATTTGAATAGGCAATAAGATAAATAGTAAATATTCTCGAACAACTGTGCATATTCTACCTCTGAGAAGGTTCTGGGTTAGTTGTTAACTTGATATTAATGATTAATTAACAAAGATGCCTTAAAAAAGACTCGAGAAAACAATAGAACGTGTGGCTCCAATAGTGAGTTATAATATCGGTTGGATTTTATAGCTACATGCTCTGAATTAAGTTGATGTCCCAGTTTATGTTTGAAGGTTACGCGCTTATAAAAATGCTAAATAATATAGAATTGTGTCTATAATTATAAGCTAACGGGAAAGTAGTTTACGGTAGGAACAGTGATTCTAAAGAGCTTCTTGATATGCATCAAAATATTAGCTTGTTCTCGAGTATCCGGGTGTTAGACAGAAGATACTAGGATAATAATAGTCGATGCACATGCATGGCCAAGTAGAACATACCTGACTACCCCACAATATGTCTCGTTGATATGATATTAGGGTTTTACGTTCGTAGGAAGTAATGAAACCATTGTGATAAACTGAGCTAAGATGTGCTATAGCCTCTATCTATGTAGTTAATCTTAAGGTATACCCTTAAAGGAACAAGGAGCAATAGGGGCTGTACGTGTAAGTCTATATAAGAGACAGGCTTATGTACTTGTGGCGCAGTAAGAACTAACTTTTAGCCACATCTACTAGGTTAGGTAGTTAATAGGTTATAGGTAATAGGTTGGTTTCAGTTATCACGGCCTCCACTACGATAGCCCCCATTTCAATCATCTTAAACTTCGAAGTTCGAAGAAGTGGTTTAATTGTTACACCCTACCCCTATACCTCCACTCATCTATGCAAATATTGTGTTAGAGGGCGAGATGAGTTTTAATTTTAGAATTATAAGATGCGGTCGACAGATGACAAGGTTATAGTTGAGATTCCTAGCTTGAGATAATTCAAAGCTGACAATACTTGTTTGTAGCTGGGCGGCCGGAACTCGCCGTAGCCTAACACCTTTGTACCGCTTGCAAGCCAGAGCACTGGTAACGACTTCTGAGAAGCCTCTTGTATCAAGTTCAAGTGGCCACCTCAAGTTCTCATACCCCAATGCCGTTAGCAACTTGAAACGGTCCTCCCTGTAAGTAATTGGCTTTGTCCAACTACAAATATTGGCGTGTCAATCGTGGTAACACTTGCGAAGACCGAATATATGGCTACGGTATGTAAACCCTCATGATAGATGCTATACAACCATATAACTCATCTCTTAAGGGACAATTGCCGATGCGCTAGCTGTGTTCACCAGGATACTATGCAGAGGAATTTCAATACATTCGACGTATGCTTGGTCTTCCTCAGTATAACTTGCAAGCATTCTAATGTGTATGCGTACTTAGATACCGGAAGATATCGAGCCCTCTCAAATTAAAGCAGACCACGACGGAGTCAAGATAAAGTGTAAGAGCCAAGTACTGTTGTATCTAATCTCCCTTAAATAATATCATGCTCATTTTTGTAGGGTCAGGAGATGCGCACGAAAGTTTCTATCCATGGGACTTCCTTGAATTCTACCTGAACTCCGATAAAAGAGCACCGGAGCCTATTGAGTACGTCTTATCTTAATCGAAAAATAACCCAATAACTGACTAACACGTTATAGATTAGAGTATTTCGGAGCACAAGGACCGCAGGGCTCACGAAGCTGGCCCCCATCTTTGAAATACGGGGATTTCTCGGCAAACGAAACTGAGGCCGTCGGCCGTTTGACGGGTTTTATTGCAAGTTTATTCTACCAAGTCCGGCCAAAAGGGGCCCATACTTACGATTATCTTTAGAGACGCAATGGTTTTTCATTTGTTACCGGAGTGCCAGTTGACTCAGCAGAACCAACTGAAAAGCTCCTGGAGAAGATTGCCTTTATAAGGCAGACGCACTACGGTGGCTTTTACGACTTCATTCCGGACCTTGCCCTTGCCGACACTGCTTACACCAATATAGCACTAGGAGCTCATACTGACACGACTTACTTTACTGATCCCGCTGGGTTGCAAGCGTTCCATCTCCTATCCCACACCGGCCCTAGCAACGAAGCCAATCCAGGAGAAAATCTCGGAGGCCAATCTCTACTTGTCGATGGATTCCATGTTGCGGATATTCTCAAGAAAGAGGACCCAAAGTCATTTGAGGTGCTGAGCAAGGTCAAGCTTCCGTGGCATGCTAGCGGCAATAAGGGGATCACCATAGCACCTGACAAACTGTATCCTGTTCTCGAAGTAGACGAGAGCACTGGCAAGATACATCGAGTCAGATGGAACAACGACGATCGTGGAGTCGTCCCCTTCGACAGTGACCACTCTCCAGCTGAGTGGTATAGGGCCGCAAGGAAGTGGCACGACATCTTGACAAGAGAGTCTATTGAGTATTGGTTTCAGCTTAAGCCAGGCAATCTTCTAAGTGAGTCTACACGATCTTGATTAGAATCCCTACTAATACGGACCTATAGTCTTCGATAACTGGAGGGTTTTACATGGTAGAAGCGCCTTTACTGGAGTGCGAAGGATATGCGGTGGATATAGTAAGTCCAATGTTTCTTTCGTCCGCATCGTAACAGCTATACAGTACTGACTAATATTCCCCCAGTTAACCGGGATGATTTTATCTCGAGATGGAGAAACACTAATTACCCACGGGACGAGATCCTAAAGCGAATTATAGGCTAACTTTTATCCCTGGCGCTACCGGCCATACTCGGCATAACATGCTCGGGTAGAAATATCCCTTGGCTGGTCAGGTTCAGACCTAGGATTTTTGGAGGCTAAGAGACGACACAAGTAACACCGGTGTACTTACGCAGAGCTAGGTATTTTATTTGCCATATTTGGCAATCCGTTAACTTGACTCAACTTGTTCTTACGTTATAGTTGCATATCAACGTCGTTATTCCTTAGCTTCTCCAACATGCCCGGCGGGTATCAAGTGACCCCCCTCATTGCCCCATTGCCTAATGTCTGGGGGAAACGACCAAAGCGGTCCACGCCCTCTATACATAGAACAAAAGCTGGATATCTATGTAGGTAGCTTGCGCTTATCTCTATACCCTCCATGTATTAATGCAAGGCGAGCCCATGAGTTTTCATGAGCTTGCATTTGGCGCATCGATCCCACGCTGCTTTGGATGGCCACTTGAATAAGAGCTGCAGTAGTCAGGCGTTCTAGCAAACCAGCTTTCACAATTCGCTTTAGGCGGTTACTACTCTGCAGTTTGTCTGCAGGGTATGGATCTTAGCAGGCGACCCTTTACTGCACCTGGACGTCATCTTCGGCCCGGGTCCATCACATCGGCGCAATTCGGTGATTATCGTATAGGGTCTGTAGTTTGCGGGATACCACGTTTTTATATACAATTAATTCCTATGTTTTTTTTTCCCGCCGTGCGTCGCCTGCTATTTAAATTCCTCTCATTTCTCTTCCGTTGTCTAGAACAGAGAATACCAATTCTCGGCATTCATCCTCGGTTTACTACACCTTCCCGTTTTTCTGATTCTCTAGACCGTCTTATACAGATTCAACCGTCAAGATGGCTGATATGAACACTGGCACTTTCAAACATGACATTACAGAACCTCCCAAATCTAATCTAGTTTTGCCGCTATTCTCCCTTAAAGGAAAGACAGCTATCGTCTCTGGCGCTGGCGCTGGAATCGGTCTCTCAATAGCTCATGCGTTTGGTATGAACGACATCCCTCATTTAGCAGTCCATATATCTATAGCATTGAACGTACACTAACAAAGGATAGTAAGTGAATGGCGCATTGTTATTGTTATTTCAGCGCATCTATAAGAGCCCCGTCCCTTACAATCGACCCTAGTAATAGAGCGCAAGACACAGACTCCGTTGTTAAAAACCGAAAGGCTTCTAACGGTACTCACAATTTGTTCTACCGTGGTAGGCTAACTTGTATTAGGCTGAAGCGGGAGCCGATGTTGCGATATGGTACAACTCCAACAAGAAGGCCTTAGAGGAGGCCGCCAATGTCGAGAAGACTTATGGGGTTAAGTGTGAGTAAATAGTCTTGGACCTTGAGGCTCTGGTGTACCTGATCTGAACTTTGATGAATAGGCAAGGCCTACCAGGTCAACGTATCGACATGGGAAACGGTCCGGGCCGCCGTTGACGAAATCGTCGACGAGTTTAACGGTAGACTTGATATCTTTGTCGCGAACTCGGGTATTGCGTGGGAGGACGGTCCCTTCATCGATGGCCCGCTCGAGACGATGCAGAAAGTGTTGAAGGTAAATATTGACGGCACCTTGTTTTGCGCACGAGCTGCCGCGCTGCACTGGAGGCGGCAAAAGAAAGAGGGCACTACTGTCGACGGACAGCCGCTCGAAAACTTCAGCTATGGCAGTTTCATCAGCACCGCTAGCATGAGCGGTCACATCGTCAATATTCCTCAGCAGCAGACCGTATACAACGCGTCTAAAGCCGCGATCACTCATGCCTGTAGGTTTAGCCTGGCCATGTCATGCAACCTTACGATCTCCATACTTACAATAGTCGCAGGCAAGTCATTGGCGGTTGAGTGGGTTGGCTTTGCGCGTGCCAACTCAGTCTCCCCGGGTTACATCAAGACGGATCTTTCTGCCTTCATCCCCCCTGAGACTAAGAAAGTCTTCAAGGACAAGATCCCGATGGGGTAAGTTCCTTTTTTTTGGTCGCCATCCTTACTTCATCATCTAACCGTGACTGCAGACGGGAGGGCGAGCCTGAAGAATTGAAGGGCACTTATCTATACCTGGCTTCTGACGCCTCGTCGTATACGACTGGTATTGACATCATTGTTGACGGTGGCTACTGCGCACCGTAAACGAAAGATTAATATCTTGGTTGAGCTTTTCTGGTTAGGATAAATGGGCACTTCTATAGCGCTAGTGTCTTGGACTCTTGGTGGTAGAGGCGTTTCTCCGTCGTTATTTTTCATAGAGAAGGTAGGCGTCTAGATTATTGAAGCTTATCAGGATACCCTTATGAATAAAGTTTTTTTATTATTTATTATTTATTATTTTTAATTTTTAATTTTATTTTATTTGACTTGGGATTAAATCGTCTGCTATGTAACCGCATTGAATGAGTTGGTGGGTGCTCGTATGGCTAAGCTCTTATCGCCATCTATAATCCGTATTGTGGTATAGATAAGAACATTGAGCACCTAATCGAAGCTTTGTTACCCCTGGGCATGGGATGATGAGTTAACCTTAATGTCCAATCTGCACAGGCTCGGAAAATGTATTATCAGATCTCTAGTGTACGGAATAGGATAGGATACGAGAATCCATTCTTAATTCACACCGAGAATCGCATAAACCAACCACATCAAGTTGGGCTTTTTTCACCTCCTATGTCATATCACTTTTTCGGGGAGGCGTATTTGAAGTCACATAAGCCTGAAGGCCTAGAATCAAAGTACCTTTTTTGTACTCCCTACCCCACTTACCGCGTATTACACCGCATTATTCACATCTTGTTGTACAATCCATCTACAATAGGCAGATTAAGAAGGTACCACGATAGGACTTACATGTACTTAGCCAATACATTCATTATACAGCAAGCTCCAGCTTTCAGGAGGTGCAAGAGCAGGTACATAATCTTTAGCGTAGCACACACAGCACGTAACGAAGAAGTAACACACACACACCCTGATACCTCCCACTTAGATCGGTTTTCGTGCCTTGCCAATCCTGTGATTCTGCCTGCCTTCCGCCGCCTAACCTGCTAACTCATCATTTTCATTTTCATTATTAGGTATTCTCCAGTTTCAGCCCTCGTGCTCCTTTCCACTTCTTCTTCAACATTCAACATTATCCACTACCTTCAACGACCCAATAGATCTCCAAGTTGATTTAATTTTATTCCCCATTTCTCTGTACGCTTTTGCTGCGTTAAGCGCTGTTACTATCCGACCTTCCTAGTCAAAGGCGCATCGTTGTTCATCACCTACATTTTCACTATGGACGCTGGAGAAGGCCAGGCGCCTTTCTCCCCCCCTGCGGGTTCAGTGCCGGATCAACGCAACGTTCAGGTCGACAATGCCATTCGCGCTATTCAGGAGAAGAAGCCTCTTCCTGAGATCGACTTCAGCATCCATACTATGGAAGATGGTACACAAGTTAGCACTATGGAACGGGTCTGCAAAGGTAGGCTGCTTAAAACCAAATTCTTAGGAATCTTAGGAATCTTAGGAACTACCCCGCCACTCGTACACAATGCTGATTGACTGACCGACTGGCTATCTAGATGTTCAAGCGCCCGCCACATTCAAGCCTACCGACGAACAGTTTTTCGAGGATGATACCCATACGAAACCCAACATTACTTTTTTGAAGCAGCACTTTTATCGCGAAGGCCGATTGACCGACGAGCAAGCCTTATGGATCATCAAGACTGGTACTGAGCTCCTACGCAGCGAGCCCAACCTATTGGAGATGGATGCCCCTATAACAGTCTGCGGTGACGTTCACGGCCAATACTACGATCTGATGAAGCTTTTCGAAGTCGGTGGCGACCCGGCTGAGACCAGGTATCTCTTCCTTGGCGATTATGTCGATCGAGGCTATTTCAGTATCGAGTGTGTTCTATACTTGTGGTGCTTGAAGATACATTACCCAAAGACTCTTTGGTTGCTACGCGGGAACCACGAGTGTCGCCATTTGACCGACTACTTCACCTTCAAGCTTGAATGCAAGCACAAGTACTCCGAGGCTATCTACGAAGCTTGTATGGAGTCATTCTGCTCTCTTCCGCTTGCTGCTGTAATGAATAAACAATTCCTCTGCATCCACGGAGGGCTCAGCCCCGAGCTGCATACGTTGGATGATCTGAGAAATGTAGGTCCTCGAATATTTCCTTCAGCCTTATCCCTAGTGTAAGATATGGCCCGTTGCTGACCTGAGATAGATTGACCGCTTCCGGGAACCGCCTACCCAAGGATTGATGTGCGATATCCTATGGGCTGATCCCCTAGAGGATTTCGGTCAGGAGAAGACCAGCGAATACTTCATGCACAATCATGTGCGCGGTTGTTCGTATTTTTTCTCCTACCCTGCGGCATGCGCCTTCTTAGAGAAGAACAACCTGCTCTCCATAATTCGAGCACACGAGGCTCAAGACGCTGGTTATCGTATGTACCGTAAGACTAGAACTACCGGGTTCCCAAGCGTTATGACCATATTCTCCGCGCCCAACTACCTCGACGTTTATAACAACAAGGCGGCGGTATTGAAATACGAGAACAATGTTATGAATATTCGGCAGTTCAATTGCACACCGCATCCGTATTGGCTTCCTAACTTTATGGACGTATTCACTTGGTCTTTACCGTTTGTTGGTGAGAAAATTACCGATATGCTAATCGCCATCCTACATACCTGCTCAGAGGAGGAGCTTAAAGAGGAAACACCTCTATCGTCGTCTCCTGGCCCGCAGTCGCCTCCGCTCGGCGGTCCTTTATCAGACCCGGATTCGATTGAGTACAAGAGACGGGCCATTAAGAACAAAATCTTGGCCATTGGTCGACTATCACGAGTTTTCCAGGTACTTCGGGAGGAGTCCGAGAGCGTTACGGAACTCAAGACCGTATCCGGTGGACGACTACCTGCGGGTACACTCATGCTTGGCGCAGAAGGAATCAAGAACGCCATTAATACCTTCGAGGATGCTAGGAAAGTCGATCTCCAGAACGAGAGGTTGCCACCTAGTCATGAGGAAGTTCAGAAGCACCAGGAAGAGGAACGACAGCAGGCATTAGAGAGAGCCTCCCGGGAGGCTGACAATGATAAGAAACTACAAACCCTTTCCAGGAGGTTGAGCACGTAAGTACTGACTTGTTGTCATTTAATCAGCATCCGCTTACCATCAAGCAGGGATCGCAAGCGATGATCCAGTGCGAATGTATATCAGCTAATCGTTGAGATAGTGGGTGAACATCAACTCAATGTTCGCATTTATAGTGATTGTGCTTGATGCATATCTTGGCTTAGCAGATTAGAACATCCTATTAAGGCAGTGTTTTCGGTAATTCTTCGAACGATACTAGTGAAGCCTTGCCTGGATTATTGCTCTAATAGCACAATACTGAGGATTCAAGGGGCCCTAATAAGACAAGCTGGACGATACAGTTTCATGTGACTGACGCAGAATTGAGACGAACGCGGTGTTGGGAAGGGGATGTCTTACGATACTTGGCGAGTTAATGAAAACCTTAGGACTGTGCTAGAGCCCTAGGACAGTACCAGGCCTACGAATACCTGACCCTGATCTACTGTTATCCGTAGAACCGATTTAACATCATATTAAAGCACTTAGACATGTGGTTACTGAATTAGACAAATACTTGGCGTATTGAACGGCTAATCGTAATACCGACGAGATATAATTCCTGGATTCTTCGACTCCCAAGCCAGTCTCGTTTTCGTCCCTACATCAACAGCTTGATAGCCCATCCTTAGGTGGTTAGTGGATAATGTGGCTGAAGCGAAGCTAGGTATCCATTCATCCTTTTGACTGTCCTCTCACTCTCCTCCGACGGCGGTAGAATCTTCCATTATCTCATATACAAAACCGTCTAATTCCAAATTCACTCAAATATATAAACATTGATCACATAACCTAAAAAATAGCGAGTATATTGGGTGGACTGGCAACGCCGCCAGGGACGTTACACGGCTCGCTGACGACGAAGAAGGACCAGCGCTTCTGCGCCTCGCAGTATGCGGCGAGCTTTTCTAGGTCGAATAATTCGCCGATCGGACACCCCCAGCCAGAAAGAAGGACTTCGTGCAGGATGTGCGGGGAGTCGGGGGGCGCGGGCCAACTCTCGACTATAGATAGGATGGACGTTAGTGGTAAGAGGGAGGGGAGAAGGGTTGGAAGATGGTTAGGAATCGGGGGCTACGTACAAGAAGGCTGGTCCCCTGCCACGGCCGAGAAGTGCTCCCAGATCCAGCGCAGCATGGCTTCCGACCGTTCGACGCCGCCGAAGTGGTGAGGGACCACGGCTCGGTAGGCGCTGAGCTCGGCGTCGGTTTTCTGGGGGTAGGTTGCTGTGAAGCCTATGGGTGTTTGTTGTTAGTATGCTGTCTGGGCTGGGCAAACATCTGAAATAAGTTTAAGGGGCTAGAGGTGGAAGCGAGGGGGGCTATGTTAGAATGGGACAGGGTAGGGTAGGAAGGAAAGGAAAGGGGGAAAATGCGTGCCTGAGCGGATGAATAAGATGTCACCGAATTTAACCTCAGTCTTTTGCGCAGCTAGACACGCCTGCAGATGCTCGAGCGGGATCGCATCGCTTTTAAATGGGTCGTAGGGCTTAAGGTCAGCAGCAGGCTGCGCGAGCCGCCAGCTGTGGTAATCGACTAAGACGCCGCGGCCTACGATACCCTGTTCCGCCCACGCTGTTGGTTGGCTTGTCAGCTCATCATGCCACCACACATACGCGCACATATATATATATATATATATACCGGCTTCCTTCCTCCCCCTCTTCCCCTTCTTCTTCAGAAATTAAACGCACCATGTATCCCATTAACCGTAGTCTTTTTCCCGCCGTCCTCATCATTGACACCGTGTATATCCTCCATAGTCACGCCATTGTAGAAGCGCTCCTCGCGCTGGTAGGCGTAGTGTCGCAGGCCGTCCCACTGCGTCGAGACCTGGGAGTTGAAGGTCCAGACGTCGTCGTTGACGACGCGGGGGGACTTGCGGATGAGGGATTGCGTGAATACGTGGCGCGAGAAGAATGATTGTTGGGGCTGCGCGTCGAGGGGCCAGTTTAGGGAGATCCTAGAGGGGGGTATGTATGGGTCAGTTTGGGTAGGTTAGGTAGGTAGGTACGTGCTAGTCGGGCTTGTAGGAGCGGGATGGGGGAGAGTTGGATAGGATAGGATAGTGACTGGACTGGACTGGACTGGTCATGCGTACCTGCGACCAGTTTTGATCTCATCCTTGGCTGCGGCGGCTACCCGCTCGTCTGTTAGTCGATTGAGTGTTCCCAGCTCGTCTTTTTCGCCGTATAAACCCCATGCCGAGTAGTGCGGGTCTGTCGGCCGTAGGGGGAGGTCCTCGAAGTTCGGGATCCCGTTGTTGTTGAGCTTGTATCCGGAGACGGGCGGGGCCATGGTTGTGTGTACCTATGTGTATAAGTCAAATGAGTCTTTGGGGTTTTGAATAAATGCCCTCTATTGTAGATTAGGTAGGTACTATAATAGATAGATCAGTAAAATTTTAACCTCATAATACGTTCTGTATACAGAATAAATGTGTTCTATTCATGGTAGAATAGTTAGCAACAATAAGCGTATCATGACGAAAAGATGCTATCCCCCTCCTTTTATCTTAGCACCTTTTCTATGTCGTGTCGCGTCGGGAAAAGACATGATGCCGATCGTAGGTCATTCATCTCCCCGCACTCGGATAGGTTCCACGGTTGAGATGCAGGTTGAGGTTAACCTAGATCTTTACGTCTATGTCTTGGAGTATAACTAGCACTATCTCGATTGCTGTTATGTGACCCCACAATGGGAACTGGCTCGCTTGGCGGGTTAATACGTAGCGAACCCTTCCCATCTGTGGGAATTAGTAGCATTACCTAGCGTAGTGGCTTGTTCGATATAATAAATATTTATCTACTTACTTAGGTATCTATCTACTCTATCTACTCTATCTACTCTATCTACTCTATCTACTCTATCTACTCTATCTACTCTATCTACTCTATCTACTCTATCTACTCTATCTACTCTATA